CGGCCCTCTTCGTGCTTTTAAAAAGGCACCGAATCCGACCTAAAACCAACCTTAAGTTAAAAATCTACCGAACTCAGCCTTTTGTTGCCATTTTATGTTAATATTCTCCTCTTTCCCCTATATTTTGATCCCTGAAAGACTACTATAGTAACCGTTACACTGAAAATGGCTTCCGCTTTATCTTGGTTAATTTAAATTTTTTTAGTTTTTATACTAAAATTTTTATTACTGCCAAAGTTAAAGTGACCATAATACAAAAAATACTCTAAAATAACAATTAAATATAAACTATACGTGGTATCCAAAAATTCCCTGCCTCCCTACTTCAAAAAAAAAGCTATTTAATACAATTATATCTCAGTGGCTTGTGAAAAAAATTATATCCTTTTATCTGTTCAAACGTCTAAGTAATAGTCAACTAAGAGGCGTCGAGTTAAGAATTTTTACAAACTGTTTAGGCATGAAGTTAGTTCAGTGATTAAATTTCTTACTAAAGAGGGCGTTAAACCTACAGAACCGTTTGGAAAATGTTTACGGCGATTCTTCTCCATCAATCAACAGAGTAAACGAATGATCAAAGCTTTTCCGTCTAGTAAGAAATTCTGTTAAAGATGATCCCCGTCAAGGTCGGCCAGCAAAAGTGGTCACTGTGGGAAATAAAGTTTGTGGAGGTGATATTAGGCGATCTCTGATTAAAGATAAAGGAAATTGCAGCTACCAATCTTCCAAAAACCACGGTTATTAGAAATTTCCACGACTATCTACATATAACAAAGGTAAGCGCAAGAAGGGCGCCCAATTTTCGCCCCACTTTAAAACAAAAAACGTGTGGATTGCTGTCGAGTATTTCTGGAGTTTTAACACGAGGAGAAAGAAGTGATTATTTAGTCCATCGTTAGTGGAGACGAAACCATGACTCTTTACTATGTTACTCAGTCGAAAAGAGAATCATTGCTGTGGCGTCGCCGGGATAAACCACTAACAAGAAAAGCAAGGTCCCCTACACCAAAAAAAAATATGGCCACAATCTTCTGAGATTATAAAAGAATTTCTAGTAAATTTTATATAGAGGAACAAACACCGTAGATAGGATGTACTACCCAAGTTTATTGCATAAAACGCGTGATGTCTTAAAAAAAGAGGGCATGGAATGCTTAGTCAAGGTGTGAGGCTTTTCCACGACCGCTCCGGTTCACACCGCTACAGTTGCTAAAGCTGCAGTTCGTGAATGTAGCTTTATTTACATATTTATTTATAAAGGACAGTTCCTGGTGCGCGATCGAGTCAAAAAACTTCGAATACTCGAGCTCTCAACCAAGAGTGATCGCGGTACGTTACATAATAGCTTCTAATCGAAAGTGTCATTATTTCGCCAACGTGCGTCACGTGGGCGGTAAGGGCGTGCCCCGTCCCATGGCACGTAAATAAGTTCACTCACCAGCAGGCGGAGTGGTGTGCCTGGCTAGCCTGCCGTAAAGGGCATTCGCATTACGTTGGAAAACGACGTCTAAAGGGTCCAGCTGAAGGTCCGGTGGAGAGCTTCATTTCGCACAATTGTCATCACGCACAGCAATTTGTTCTATCGCACTTGAGGTGCCGACGCTATTGAAGTGATGTCGTAGGTCTAAGCAGCAGACGTGTATGTCTTTATTGTCTGGATGTAAGATGCAATTGCCGTTTACTTCGCAGGAAAAACTTGCTTTAGCCGCATTGTCAAGAGTGAAGCGCCCTAGTTACTTCCTTGGCCTTTGTCACTACATAGTCCACGTGTCGCTGCCAGAAAATTTTGTTATAAATGACGACTCCTAAGTACTTCGCTTAGAACACAACGATCTTCACGCAGACAAAGGGGCGGATTTTTTTTTGCGGTCAAGAGCCTTCACTCTTCATCGCTTATTAGAAACTTTTCAATTACGGCATCAGTCAGCAAGAGCGTCAAGATAGCGCTATAGATGCTTGCATAGCAAGGTGGGAAATTTCGACGATGAGTAAATAGACGTATCATCGGCGTAGAGGGTGATTCGTGAGTGGAATTTTGACGGCAAGGGCACAACACATAAATTGCAGATGAAAGGGGCGAAAGAAGTGATCCTTGAAGGGCCCCTACCATCAGAGATCTCAGCGGCTACTATGTATCTCCCACGCGCACGCTGAAGACCCGGCCTTTTAGAACGGACAAGGAGCACAGTTTGGGCGGCGACCTTTATGTCAAACTTGATTCAATTCTTTTTCAACGTCAAGAAAGACACGGTTGTTATAACAGCTGCCATAATTTCTGCTGTAATTGTTGCTGTTGCAGATCAGTTTTCGCAGTAGAAGCGTGGCCAGGAGCTTTAGAAACTAACGGGATAGTGGGTGAGTCTTGTTGAAATTTCGAACTTAAACGGACGCGTAAGAGACTCCTGGAGTAATGGGTGTGGTTTGTAGTGAGCACCTACGGAATGGCCTTTGCGGGTCAGCTGGCTACCTTCCACGTATAGTATTTGCAGCCTTGATAATTAGCGGTGTGCACTTCCACACAATTTGCACAAGTAGCAAGACTATTTCGTACTTTCGCGCATAGGACTGTCAAATGGCCCTCGCTACATTTAACGCGTCGGGACCGCAGTGCAAAAGCTTGCGGTGTACCCAAAGATCTGATACGTTGGCACTGGCCAACACAATTACTCTTCCGAGGTTCCTCCATTCGAATTTGGAGCTAGTCTTCAGTACTAACGCCTTTAGTCTCTCGTTTCTCATGATATGTACTAAAACTAGTTGTAACGAGTGCTTCTTACGTTAGTCATTGACGTCATCTTCCGGTGCATCCGCGCAAGTCAAAGGGGAGTAATGCCCTGAGCGCACGAATCCTCCTCAACGGTTGAAAGAGCGAGTTCGCAGTAAATTCCACGATGGACAAAATTTTAAAAGCTTTTTCTCGATAGTTGACATGTAAATAATTGAAACTCCTGCGCTCGCCTGATCGCTGTTGGAGAGTGATAACCGTTAACTGTCGTGGGAAATATCTTTATTCCAAGGCGGGCAGCTCTAGATCATGGGATATATATGCCGTTGGTTTACAAAAGTTGAAATAGTAAGGCCACTTTTGTTGTTTCACGAGAGTCTACTTCATTCGATCATCCACTTTAGGAGCAGTGCTAGAAGCACCACCCATCTCAACGTCTACGCTGTGCTGTAATGCTTTTATGACCTACTCCAAAGCCTCCGTGATTTTACTAGTTTCATTACCCTTATTTATACTACTACAAGTTATAATACCACTATGGTCATTACTAAAATTTTTACTACTACTTAAATTATTAATATTACTAATAGTTTGGTCTCTCTCGGCTATATTATTAAGAGAAACGCTATTATGGTAATTATTAGCATTACTACTACCTCTATTACTACTAAAACCTAGTTTTACCGTTAAGAGTTTCATTTTTGGTTAACTATAAGCTCTCGCTTTCTTCTAATATTTCAAAAGTCTGATTGATCTAGAATTCGTAAAGCCAAGTAAAATTGTTATTAGTCCTCATATCAACAGGCTCCTTTCTTCTCTTAGACTTAAGTTTGTCCTGAGTAGTTTTTATGTGCTCATTAAGTTTAGCTTTGGTTGAGCTTAACTCCTAAGTTCTTCGTTGACAGCTAATAAGTTAGCAATTAAAGTTCGCAGCTCTTCTTCAGTAGAGGGTTAAGACAGTACGTAGATAAATGAAGATAAAGAGAAAAGAGGGGCTTTTTTTAGCACTGGCATGCTACGGCCGGTCTTCTTACTGAGACCTTGAGCTGCTTAATCTAAATTCCCCTCTCTTACAGGGGTTGGAGCACGAGTGCCCACCAGTGTACGCTCTATAGAGAGCTATGAACTGTCTTGAAGGACTGAAAAGCGAAAAATATCGGGTCCGGGCCCCCGCCATTCGGCCTAATGTGGTGGAAACCGCTAAAAACCACCACCGGGAGAGGCACCCCTAGACTCAAGTCCCAAGATTACCCCGATTATGACTTCCTCACCCAGAAGAAAGAAGCCCCCTGAATATGGCTTTAATGAACTGTAACGGGTTTAATACGTGAAACTATCATACCGAGGTCGAGAGTTGCCGTCGAAAATCAGCGGTTAAGAGCATTGACGCGCATACTCAAGGTCGTAGGTTCCACTCCCACCGCCACGACTCTCTTTTTCGGTCTTTGATAGTCGCGTATTTAACCTCGCCTTCATAAATTCTAATAAACTGAACAATTTGCTTTACGATCCAGACCTGATTCCATTTGAAAAATGGAAATCGGACTTAAGGAAAAGAGGTTTAACAAAGGTAGTGAAGTAAAATCAGCTGTTTATGCACATTTTAAAGACAAAACTTCAAACTATTATTATGTGGGTTTAGAAAAGTTATTCTACCGATATAATAAGTGTATTTTAAAGCAAGAAGATTATATTGAAGAATAAAATTTTTTAAATAATGTCACATGGGCCGTATCACGTACCTTATAACCACCAGACAAATTACAACCTATTTATCGCCTGCGTGGACATAAGGTTAAAAAACTACAGACGGTGCACAATCGCTAAAAAATATCGTCATTGCTCTCTGATTTATATATGATTATTTACTGCACCGTGATCTAAGACTGTATTACATTTAATCGCCTTCATGACACAAATTAATTTTTAAAATACAGACCTATACTACAAGTACGGGATACCATTTCAGCAACTCGGCTGGCCCAGTACTGTAGATATAGCTACGAAGGCACTAGGCTTTCAACATAACCTAAACAATAAATTAGACAAGCAGAGATATAGCATAGCGTTAATGAGCAAGATAAACAATAATTAATAACTTTAAATTTTGTTATTAATGGCCTACCTAAACAGTGCAATTATGTAGGCCTCTCCCCTAACCCTTATTACCCTTTTGTTTAACAATAAAAAAATATAAAAGCGGGGTTAAGGCCCCATCTTACAACAGGCGTGTTTGCCGATGGAATATGTTAGAATAGCTAAACAAAAGTATCAAGAGGTTTCACATACCGACCCTGTTCTCTTAAAAAACTCCTTTTTTTTTTTTCAAACTATATAGGCTTTAAATCAACTTAAAGAGAAACAAATTGTTTGGGAGAAATATAAGAAGGACTATGTGTCTGTTTCGGAGCTTCTTTCACGGCTGCCTGAAGTCACCAGACATTCCGTCATGGTACGTTCTTTTTTTATAATAGTTTTTCCCCTTTTTTTAACCTTGAAGACTTGATAAAGAGAATAGCAACTTTACATTTATATACTGATACCTTTTTAAAAAAATTCAAGGTACCAATAACAAAGGTGGCCTTCATTCCCGGCGTTTTGGTACATACGAATGAATTTCTGGTCTTGATTGGCAGTGAATACTTAGTTGAAAGATCAGCTAAACAGTCCTTGGAAATAGTTGATAGACGTTTGCAGTGTAGTTTATGTAAAACTAACTCAACACCCTTAAGGGTTAACAATTATTTTTAAGTTGTTATGAATAAGAAAAAGGAAATTGATTTACAAGTTGAGAATTTCAAAGCACGTATTGAGGCTGCTACGGAAATTATGGCTCCTTCTTACGTTGGTAAAATAGAAACTTTTGTAAATTTTTTAACTAACATTAGAAAAGGATGAAGAGGGAAATGAAATTGTTGAAATTAAAGAGTGCGCTCCCGAAGTAACGCGTGACGATTCTAACATACTTTATGGGGACGACTTCATTACAGCTGTTAACATGGGTTTTCGGATGTGTTTTAAAGACACAAATAAAGAATAGCAATAAGTTTTAAAATAGATGAGGACAATGTTGGAAAAGCTTTAGATGTTGTAGAGAAACAGCAGGATTTCCGAGATGAAGTTGATGAGGTCGAAGTTGCTTTAAAAGAAAAGCGTACTTCCAAATTTAAAGCTCAACGAAATCTTGAAAAAAGGGGTTCTTGATTTTTTTGGTTAATAAAGGATACTATAAAGTAATTATTATTTTATTAATCATCCATTTATATACGGCCTTATCGGATGGGTTGAGAAAATTAACTTATTACCAAAAGTTTAACTTATAAATTGTACTTGGGAAAAATGACTTTAGCGTAGATGTGCTGAAAAGTCGCATAGAAAAATACAAGCATAAAGTGTTTTTTTTAGCAATTAATATTATTTTCTGTGCGCTGTAGCACTTTTAATTCGTTGCATCTGTGAAATTCTAATCAAAGGTATGCACTAAACCATTTTATTATATATTATGCTCATCAACTCTCCAAAAGTACTAGTTCTGTAATTTTTTCCAACTTTTATTAGACACAAGCGCTGTTTATACTTTACGAAACCATAGACTTAAAGTCGAAATAGTTTGGTTTTACATAAGGATATACTAAGCTTTAGAATCTGAATAACTTGCATCATGGGTAAAATAAGTCTGCTACAAGAGCTGCAGGTGTAATCATACCGTCTGCTAGAGAAAAAAACAAAGTGGCCCTTCATATTAATTACTCTGTTCATGAATAATAACTTATGCTGCATATATTAAATTGCCTAAAGTCTTTTTGTTTATGACTTTTGTTTTATGCCCATGTTAAGTTGCAATAGTAGTTATCTGGAGAAAAATAGTAAATAAACCACTAAAAACTTTTCATAACTAAAACAGTTCAAATTCCAATAGATGGTCATCCAGAAAAACCCTTAAGGTTTAATACCTTCCTGCGCCACTTTTTAGCGTATTGGGAAAATCTAACGGTGCAAAGCAAAGTGCCAAGTTCCTACTGCCTTCCCCTGCCATGGAATTGAATTTTCACGGTTTGAAAACAGTTTCATTATGTTCGAGGCATTCCCCCAAAATCTTCTTCGTTGGGTTCCATAAAAGGCTTCAGTTGAATTCATATACTTTTTGTAGCAACACTACTTAAGAAAGTTTTACCTCTTTTCTTAGTGTATATTTTTACGTATCCCTCTTACACCATGGCCTATTCCTTTTTTAGAAAACAACTATATTACAAATAGTTAGTAGCTATTCTATTAATTGCAAGAACATAATCTACATTTTAATAAGCCCTTTGCTGTATACTTTCTTCCGGCTAAACCTACTAGATATTACATTTCCTACAACTTCTATCATTTTAGCCGGCTCTCATATTTCCTCCTGTTTTTTAAAATTCCGCACGCCGAAAGGTTTACACCCATTTTGTTCTACTAAAATAAAACGCAGAGAAGTAAAAAGTAGTAGTTTCCTCTCTTGCAGTGCGGTCTAGGAAATTGGTTAGGTAACAAAGTTACTAGGTTGCCTAAACCGGTCGTGAAAGGGAAAACTACAAGTTTCACTTTTCTTCGTTCCAATTTAGTTGAACAAGCTAATTAGCTAACATTTTTAGAGCGCTAGTGAGTTAGTTTCGCCCTACTAGAGTAGAATTTTATTCTTAGTAATTGTTTTCTTATTCATGTTAGGCGGATCAAATACCTTAATTTTCCCTTACTTATTAGGGTACGATTAAAAAGGGTTCTATGAGCCCTCCCAGGTAAAACAGTAGAATCTCAACCTGTCGAAAGTAGTTCATTGAGATACCTAGGTTTATTTACGAGTAAGTACTCGAGAGCTTTAAAGCTTTATATGAACTAGTTTTTCTGTGCATTATAGGTTTAAGGGTAGCATTAAATACTTATGATTGCCCTTACAATTGTACAGGATTAACTTAAAACACTCAGGGGCTATGGTTAAGTTTAAAGTCTTATAGTCATCCGGGGAGATTATACGTTCACTGTAGAAACCGAATAAATACACCTTTTTGTCCTAGTATTTAGCTGAAAACCATACTAACAAGTTATACTGCAATGTAATTATGCCCAACAACAGTTGATGGGCATGGCCTCCTGCTTTATACCAAGGATATTCCGGTGACGCAAGGTTATAAACCGCTGCTCATTAACTTTGGAAACCATCTGGCAGTTAATGAATCTGTGTACGATTATAGAGTACTTTTAAGTTACGCAAGTTAAGTTATCAATTATTAAAGTAATCATTAGCTGTCTTACTTACTTTACATATATGTACAGGCGTCTAACTATGATAATACTCTGTTAAGGATACTAGCATTCGACTCAAGTGCTAACATTATAAAGTTAATGAGCTAAATCATGATTCATTTCCACAGACGATCCTTCCACTGGCGTGAGTCTCTAATGCAGCAATCAACTGCAAGCTTAACATATCCAGGAAAGATCTAAGGTAAGCTAAAACCTTCCTCAATTCTGCCACCAGTCCAAGGTTTACCATTTTTAAGAACAGTCATCTCTGACCGTACATAAAGCCAACTTGTGAGCTCTCCTAAATTAAGTAAGGTTTTTTTTCCCGTACAGCACTTGTGTTTTTTGGCGTTCTTTCATTTAAGTTATACGAATATATATATTATTTCCATTGTTTACTTTATGATGTGAAGTCCTAAGACACCCTTAATTAATAATTGAAGAGATATATTATAACGGAAAATAAGTAAAGTCAACATACCGGGTTGAGAGTAGTCGCCATAGCTCAGCAGTATTTATGAGGGAGGGGTTATGGAGACCGAAAAAAAGATTTGCTTGAGCGGAAATCGTCCCATGACCTCGAGTATGAGGTCAACAAAGGGTTTTTATTTAAACTGTTATACCACTTTTTTCAACATATTTTATAGTTCATTGATCTCATTTTCATTTAGTAATTATTTAATTAATATTAAGAGTGTGAACACGAACAGGAGTGTACGGAACTCTTAATCTGTCTTAGTTCCCATCTTGCCAGAAAGTGGACGCCCTTCCTAAGAAGTTGGAATAATTTATAAAGGTATTAATTTCTAACAGTTTTCCTTGAAAAATAAGTCTATAGAGACGATCATAACATTTTAACAGTTCTCTTTTGTACTGTTTTTCCATAGTTGTCCCTCCACAAAACTTGTTCAACTTGATTACCCTTTTTTTAAACTTAGCCCTATTGATTTTTACAATTACACTGCCCGAACTGATTAGATGCCCACAACCTCTTTCTTAATAATCATAATCGCCTCCCCTTAATAAAGAAACTGAAATCCCTATTTGACGTCTATGGTATTAAAGGGAGACCTACAAAGCCCTTGGTTGCAAGGTCAATATACACAATTTGAGACACAAAATTAATAGAATAACGCTATCACTACCAAACCTCAGCGCAGACGACGAATACAGATCTTAAACTTAGAAATAGGAAAAATTATCAAATCAGGAAACTTTGCGTGCTTTGAAGATACATAGGCTTTTAAAATCAAAGATTATGAACCAACTGAGCAACATCCTCAAAAAAAAACGCGAAAACATCGTATAGATTAACAAAAGGATCTGAAGACTATGAAAAAGGCACTTCAGAAGATAATGAAACTGCTAAAATGGAAAAATTAAGCAATATTACATCTCCACAGTTTCCCAGAAAGGCCAAATCACCAACGAATCCAATGCACTCCCCAATGTAGACCAAGACGACCAAGATAAAAAAGTAAGCATAGGACACTTTCAGATGAAGAAAGACCAAAAAACAGTACACAAAACTTACACAATACCAAAACAGAAGTCTTAGAAATAATCAAAATAACGAAGAACAACCATTAGCTAAATGCACCAAATATGACGATTAAAAAATATAACAAGAAAGATCTATCAAAGACACCCAAGATATACAACTATAAAGGAAACAATATTATTTATTATACCCCCCTATATAGTAATACGCACACAAATATATAAGAACAGACCAAAAACAAAGACTACGCAGTGACATACACAACACAAAGAAAATTCCACAGGAGGCCACTACATATGAAACACGCAGAGCTAAAACGAAAACCCACCATCTCGATAATACACAAACGGCCAACTAATGTTTCGAATCCACTCGCAACCGTATACACAAAGCAGAAGGAAACACAGATTAAAAATCTAAAAGGCCTAAAACGGAAGTGCTTCTTAGAAAAGATAGAGATTTCGACATGGAATGCAGGAGCTATGGAGAAAACTTGATAGAGAGGGACTATTTAAACCGCTATACTTATGCTGGAAAAAATCATGTGCCATAATGGATTCACATTAATTTGTCGATTTTAATACATTAGGAGACTAATATATTGTAAAGGGTGTGGAAGATAGTAAGCCCGGAAGTGGGGTTTGATTTTCCTGCTCTTTGTTTCCTGAGTGGGACAGCCCGACTGCTGTGTTTTACATATATATATTGTCTAATAAATTTCTACAATTATTTCTACTTTGGATGTAAATATGTCCACGCTTTTACAGTCACCACCTGTGATAATGTTACTCTAGGAATAATACTTGCGTCAAAAAGTGGTGCCCACCTTAGGGACGCAGAAAATTATCCTAAGTATCAACTCCCAATAAGTAGATACAAGGATTAACTACAAAACGGTGCATGTGCGCCTTTTCAAATTTGTTTAGTTAGTAAATTACTGATACCATTGCAGTTAGTTACCAGCTCTTTTATAATTACTTCCTTTCATTACTTTAGCTTCTTTTTTTCGTTGCGGAATAAATGATGGTACTTTTATAAAGTTAAAATATAATTTATTACCAGCTTTTTAATAGTTTTAAGGCTCCCAAACCTAGATTCAGTTATTAATATACCCCATCTCATTGTTATTAAAGTCATCAATTTATTAGCCCACCATACTACCCCGATTCCCTCTTGACCACATTTTCTATAGTATTTCTACGCATTGCGATGCAGTGTGGGTTGCCAGCATAGGTTATGACAAGGCCCCCCCAGTAGTGTCTCTAGCATCTATTGTTATAACCCTAAAATCATGTTCTTTAGAGATAGTAAGCGCCCACTGTAGAACTCTTTAAAAGTTAAGGATAGATAATATAGAAGAAACAAAAACGTTAAAACCAACAGACTAGGGCAAATATGGACGAAGGATACATCTAAGAGAGCTAAGGCATAACTAAGTCAAATCTGTGCACAGGCGAAAATAGAACTTAGAAGCTGGAAACAGTGTAAGGAAAGAAAATTAAAGAATCAAGGGGTGCTTTCTTATAAAGAAGTTACAGAATGAGACCCAGACTTTAGATAATAGGGGTTAATCATTAGTTTAAGTGCTAAAAATGCAAGTGTAAGTTAAGACGTTTTAAATTGCAGTGGGCGCATATGTAATAGATATTATTTTTGTCTTCTAACCAAAAGCACATAAAGTTCTTTTAGTATTTATACAAGTTATATAGCCACTATCTTCAACCTTATTTAATTATCCTTAATAATAACGGCAAAACAACAGTAATACTGCAAAATATATAACTTACCTTAGAAATGTAATTATATTTATACGACCAAAAAAATTTTGTGAACCGTTAAATTTATTAAAGTGCTCGGTTTAGTTTTTATTCCTTAATGATTTTCATAAACCACCAAGCATAACGGTAACACTCCAATAATTCTTCCAGATCTCTTTTTAGTTCTCCAGTTTTTTTATATAAAACTTAACATAATATAGCTAACCTCTTAAAATGCGTCTTAAAAAAATCAACAACAAAATGTTCGATTTACAGGTTTGAAAGCTTAACGCTATGAAGAAATATAATACAAGCTTATAGGGTGGTAAAATATAAAGTTTAACGAAATTAAGAGCGAAATAACAACTTATACATAGCTTTAAACTGCGTAAGAGGCACACCACTAGAACAAGCTGGTAAAATGGAGATTGGTTTGAGCCTCTACCCTTGATTGCATGCTAGTCTACTTGTTTCAAGCTTTTCGCTCATTTCTTATATTTCTTTAAGCTATGCCTATTAATACTAAGGGGAAGAATTTCTAAAAAGCTTGGAGTGATCCGTTAAACTTATCATGATATTAAGAAAACTAGCTAGATGGTTCTCAACTTTAAAAAATAGATCTGGCAACACGCCTCTTGTTGTGATAAAAGGAAAACTGCAAAAGAAAGGGAGGTAAAAATTTAAGCCTTTTCCCTTTGTAATTTTCCCTTTATTTCTTAAAGCACTAGTTCTTGGCTCCAAAATCATTCTCGTGATATATTTGTGCGTATGGCTGCCCAGGACCACTATCCTTGTCGTAGTGCATATAAACTAATTCATATTGACGAGAAATTTAAATTACTTAAACAGGGCATAACAGTTGTAAAGAGATTTTTTGTTTTTGAAAAGATCACCCGAACTAACTATTGACTTGAGTCTACAGGTTGACTTGGGTGCATTTCCAGGCGGCTGGACTAAAGTAGCTATCGAGAGAGTAAATTCTAAAATTCAAGGACTCTCTAGCAATAGCTCACATAAGGGAAAAATTGGGAAAGTTATCAGTGTAGACAAAGCTTGTTAAGTTTATAAAATTTGTAAAAAAAAATTATTTTATTATAAATTTTTTTACTTCGACCTCTTTAATTGATATTTTCAGCCATGAATCCTGTGCTTGGAGCGACAGTGTTTGGTAATTGCGATATAAATGATTTTTTGACTCTTGAAAAAATCAAAGGGGAGTTACAAGGCAAGGCAGATGTTGTCTTGAGGTATTTTAATGCAATTATTTATTTAGCTTATTAATAAATTTTATTAATCAACAAGAAAATAATGTTTTGGGAGATTGCTGATAATATTAACGGGTTTCATGTTAATAAGTAGCCGTTTGTTACGTTTGTATTGTAAGGTAGACTTTTAAAATTCATGGAATTACAAATACAGATTTTTACATGTTTTAAAGGGGTTTTTTTTATTCTCGTTCATCAACGTTAAGCTTATTTAAGGTCATTCTTTGACTTAGAAGGCGGAAATTTTTAGTTTTTAGATCATTGGGTTTTTTGCAGTGTTATTTACGTACTTGCATTTTCATTCTATATTTTGGTAAAAGCAGGCAAGCTTTTCTGAGTTCGAATTCTATTTAAAAAAATTTGTACCGGAAGGTATTAACCAGGTAGCATTAAGCGTTAGGTTATAAGAAAACCTCGAGATCCTTTACCTTATCACAAGATTACTTTTTAAACACCCGCTTTAAGGAGTCGTGGCATATGAGGCCTCGTTTTTACTAAGCTTTGCACTACTTTGACGTATTCAACGAATGGGGGAATTAATAACAATTTTCAAGCTCTAGCATACGTGTCCTTGATGGTGCTTTGCATCTAATAGTCGAGTATACTTTTGTTAATATCTATTAAAAAATTTTCATAACCACTTTAAATTTAGGAATTTTGCTTACACTTACGCATCTTTTGTTACTACAGCGATATGGCTGTTAATGCCTGTGGGATCCCTGAAGCTGATTTTGATAAAAACTTGGTGTCTGCTTTTCATAAGTCTATATGATTCAAATTTATGTTTTAACATGAACTTTTTAAGGAACTGTGCAGAACAGTATTAAAACTAATCCCCGAAATTTTAAAAAAAAAAGGAAAAACAGTTTTAAAACTGACTGGAAACGGTTCGCCGAACGGTAAACATTTACTTTTACAAAACTCTAAAGTGGTTATATAAAAATTTATATAATAACGTTAAACTTTCCTACCAGATTTTATCAAGTCTTTAAAGGAAAACTTTAGTAAAGTCAAGTTTTTTCGACCGGAATCCACCCGAAAATCATCCAGTGAAGTATTTATAGTTTGTCTGGGGTATGGTGAGAAAAATTCTACATAAAATTTTACTAAAGAAAAATGAAATCTTGATCAGTTTTTTAGTTCATAGACAATAAATAGTTCAAAAAAATAGTTAAGCCTATTTTCTAATTAGATTCATTGTAAGTGTTTCTCTTTACAAGCAAAGCAAACAGATGGCAGTGGCGGTGTTCTAATTTTAGGATAATAAAAATATTATTGAGAATAGTTGAGTATATTTTTTATTTAGAATGTTCGGAAGAGTGCTTCGCCTTACAAGCAAGACAAACAAGTGGCAGTGACTTGGCGGGGCTCGTAACTGCAAGCAATATTAAATAGTTACGACCTCTTCAAAATTAGAGCTTTTTTTTTACTTAAGACAGGAGCACGTAGAGCAAAATGTCTTTTGGCAAAGAGAACAAGAGCGGCAGCATTCCTTACAGAGCGCCCGCTCGCAGTCGCTACAGAGCTTGGAGCTTTCTTCCTTAAGACACGCCACGCACTTGTTTTTGCTGTCTTAATTAGAATATTAAGTACGAATTAGCCTTATTAGCCATTATATATATACACTAAAGAAGAATTGGCTTTGTTGTGTAAAAATTTGGTGGTCGTTTGCTCACGTAACCCCTTGTGGTTGTTAGTTTCAAAGTAAGCAGTCAAGGTGGACTGCAACTTACAAGGAACATGGTTCAAAAGACTCTCTTTTTCAACGCACGATGGGCTTGCTACTGGCCCTATAATAATATAAATAACCTTAAAATATTAAATTTTTTTAATATGCAAAATTAATTTTTAAAAAAAATTAATTTTCCGACCCACATGCTGCTAAAAGAAAAAATATAAAAGATATAAAAAACATGCCTTCCATATTCACCATTATCTTACTCTCATGACCATTTTCCATTGAAAGCGGACGATCTCTTTTAAAACCCATATAAAGTTGAATATGTCAAGAAACGCCGGTTGAGGCTCTTAAGCAACCAGAAAAAAGAGTTTAAGTTCCCTTCAACGCCGTGTTTTTGCTGGGGCACTTCAAAATTGACTACAGCGGGTTAATGAGGGTAGCTCTGATTTTTGGGCAGAGGTTGAATTTCCTGAGGTCTAATAATATTTTAAAATCGTCCCAATGAGTAATCACAATAGGGATGTGATTAAAAAGCATCGTGCTATTATATTTTTTTGAAGCCGTAAAATTAGTACGTATTTACGGAAAAGCACACTGAGCTCCACCATCTTTATTAAAGCAATATATTATAGGTTTTAGTTCTTTCCTTTGTCACAGTTATATAACCGCTAAACTTTAACCAGGGTCCTGAATCTACAGAATGCACTGATATTTATTACAACTCGCATCCGGGATTATAATTATTTCCATTACATACTTAAGTTAAATCCTAAAGCGACCTCTTAAACTTCTTTATTACAATGTTTTTGTAATTAGCAAATAACAAAAATTAAAGGAAACATGGAGGTGTATATTAAACTTAGGTTAAATATAAAATATCAATGCTGTTAATAATTAAGAAGCCTGTATTATACTTTAATAATTTTTATGTTGTCTGTCTTATATATCTATTCATGTTTTATATATAATATATACTAATTTTATCTACTTTTGTCACCTAGTAACAATGAAGTGCGTGTTTCCATAACATGAAAACTCGATAGGGTGAACTCTATTAGAAAATTTATGAGGGCGAGATTACGTAAGCAACCGCCGAAGAGTTGTAAGAGAGAGTCGCAAAGGATGGGAGACGAACTTAACAGCACTGAGTATGTGCGTCAACGCATTTAACTGCTGAACTACATTGACAACTCTCGATTCTGGTAATGTTTTTACTTATATAACCTGTTAAACTGCACTTATGGGCTTCGCTTGCCACAGGATTTTTGGTGACTGATTACATTTCTGGAATAACGTAAAGATCTTTCGTCACCTAAAAAAAGTTAATAGTTAGATGCAGCAAAATTTACTAGTATATTTGACTGAGAGTTTTCCTATTTATACAATTTAATTTAAGCTTTTCGGGTTACCTATCAACTGTAGCCTAGAGATTTCTTTTAGTATAAGTGTTTCTTTCTCGTAATTGTAATATTGTTAATATCTTGTGTCATTCAGTTGTTCTCCTCACTAAAAGATTTAAGATAAAAATAAAGATAAAGATCGATAAATAAAGCCAGCAAACCAAAAAAGTTCATTTATTTGGACAAAATTTATTAAGTCTTCTCGCTCATAAATTTTTAGGCCCACTAAGCATTTTATATATGCAGTTATATTGAACATGGCTTGGCAATACATATAAATCTTTTATTATATTTGTAAGTTCACAAAAGACACAAAAAACAATTTTCAGTATAATATCACTAAAACCATTGAATTAAATCATTGTATATTGTACGAAAAACGATAATTTATTATTAAGTCTTCGATTATTTAAATACCATAAATGTTTGCTGTACAATATCATGCGAAATCCGCACGGTAATTATAATCCAAATTTATTGTTAATCCTATTTACGGATATATTGGCCTTATACCCAACTAGAGCGATCAATTTTTTTAATACATGGTAGTAGGTTTACAAATTCTATAGACGTCTAATTAAGTTTATTTGGGCAGAGACATAGAGTAAATGGTTTATCTCTTCAAAGGGGATACCTTAGTTGACTGCGATTAATCAGTTATAGGGGTACACAGAATCACTAAAAGTAAAGAAATTTTTTTCATTTGTCAAATATTAGCTAGTAATGCTTCTTATGTATCTCAATAACGAAGTGTAAAATTCGCCAACTGGAGAGCCTCGACTGGGCTTTATTTGTGCAAAATTGTGCAAAATATTTTGCACCCTAAGTTTTAATTAAACTGTCTTCTAATACTTTATTTCTTTTTAAATAAGAAAACTATCCTTACAATCTTTTAAATAACTATAACCTATAAAAAGAGCTATTAAATTACCTAATAGGTCGTTAAAATAATTAAGCTTCCTTCAACACTTTGAACTATAAAAATACTATAAAAACAAAATTTCAACTCTATTAATGACTAATCAGTATATAATAAGTAATATATAATTTTATTTTAGCTTTTAATACTGCTTGACGTTAATAAAATTAGCATAGCGAAAATAATTCACTATTTCTTTCTAAGGTCTCAAAGTTACCAAAGCCAGAAGTATTAATTAAAAAAAATAAATAAAAAAATTAAAAAAAAAATTATACTCCGAACCTACAGTGGGGTGAACGTGTGATTGTAGATAAGAAGAGGCTAAGAGGCTGAGTGGCCCTATTAGTATCTTTTTCCACCTTTGTTATTATATTGAACCGACTTGGTCCCCCCTCTTAAAGCTAAGACTTTTTGCTGGGTTGTAAGTTTTTTTGCTCCCTGCGGAATGTCTAAAGAATGGCGACATTACGAGAAGGGTCAAGAGGAAGCTTTGGCTAAGGCGGCTTCGAATATTGAAGAAGCTCCGAAAGCAAAATATATTCGAAGTTATATATTTTAATTATTACATCGCATTTCACTGTCAAAACAGGATGTTAAATAGTTTATACAGGCTAAGGCGGTTAAAGAACCTATAGAAAATAAAAATATTAGTTTTACTAATATTACAAATCTTAATATTAAAAATTTAATACTTATTGTCGGTAATGATATAGTAATGGTTTAACTACCTTCTTCAGAATCTATCATATTGTCCTGGGAGCTTCAAAACTCGGAAATTTTTTGGAAGGCGATTTTTAAGTTACCTTTAGGCACAAACCCTATAATGTGTTATAAATCCGTACACATTATACATAAATTATTACTTGAAGGTATTTTTTTATAAAGCCCTAGTTTGGTTTTCACCTCGTAGTAATTACACAATTTTCTCTTAGGCCATCCCAGCTTTATATCAGAGACATACACATTTAAAAGTAAACTAAATCAGTTAGGAGGCCTTTGGAGCCGGCAGACTACCTCTTACTCTCCGCTTATATCCGCCTACCTTCGTTTTATTAGCGAAAAACTCGATTTTCATCATCAATATGAGAATCTAAAAGGTAAGACAGAAAGGAGCATTACAAATCTTTTATATGTGCGTTGATATGTTTCTTTGGTAGGTGACTTAAACTCCGAGTTGGGCCTGTTCTCCTCTAACTACGACTTTACGAGTGCGTACTCTTTGTGCATGTCCATCCTGGAGTTACACTCGTCCCTTATATTTGTCTCTTCAACTATTCTGGGCTCCCTCAACAAGCTTACTTCACCTGAGGAAATTGTATGAATGCCTTTTTACGAAAAACTTTCCCGTTCTGCGTAATTTGCTTAAAGGAATGTCGTGTTTCTGCATTCATACCTATCGTTCAAGAAAGTCGTGGTCTCTACTATGCCTCTCTTGAGCTCTTAAAACTACTTCATCATGGTTAGTCGTAAGTAACCAACTTTAATCTATTTTTTTAGTAAATAAAATAACAGAGCTTGATTTGGATTCCCTTGCGGATCTTGACAAAATTTTTTTAAAGCAGTGGCACCAATTGAAAATCCTTTATAATGATGTAAGAAGTTTTGAGTACTTGAGAAAACTTGTTGAGATTCCCGAACTAGGCGATGTACATTTCTGTTTTATTATTATTAAATCTTATAATATTGCAACCTTGCTATTCATTTTACCTTTTCTTGTTCCGCATTTTTAGTAGTGAACTTTGAAAGTATTCAAGTTATTTAAAACTAAAAGAAACTTTAATAATTTATAATTCCTTATTACTTTCTCCAGTATCCCCCAACTTGGCTGAAGGAAGGTAAGACTAATCTACCGAAAGAGCTTCAGAGAAGCGGTGAAAAAGTAAATTTGTGACTTTTTCGGTCTTTTTTTTTTAAAAAAAATTAGGATCTTGAAAGTTCCTGCAACCATGAAGAGTATATTGCCTTTTTAAAAAGGGGTAGACTCTTGCGAGTTTCGTGCTAAGTACAAGAATTATTTTATTTTTAAAGAAATTGAGCGTCTGAAAAATGAAGTCAACCGCTTGAACACCAAAATCGAAAACCTTTTGCAGCAGCGCAGAGATTACGATTCGCAGGCCGAGCAGGCCCGCTCGGTTACTTTTTAGAACCAACTTATATGCACTTTTTCTAATAATATAGACAAGCGTTTACAACAGTTAGAAGACACCAACGCCACACAGGCCAAGAGGCTCAAGGAACTGCAGGGGGTGGAGAAACAAAGTATTATACAATTGCATGATAAGCAATAAGTTCGCATAATAACACACCTTCATACCCGCAGTCGAGACTGCCACTTCCGAATTGAACTCTACAAAAACAAAGTTTGCGCAAATGACAAAGATGTACAAGAAACTTCGCGGAGATCACTTAGACTTGCTAAAGAAGTCCGCCGGTATGTACTCCGGAGCTCATAAAGCAACGCCCCTTTTGACGGTCTCGTTTAGCAGACTCTGATAAGTTTCAAGCAGAGAAGGCGTCCGTGGAGTCCAAGTTCCGGGAAGAAGCCAAGAAAGCGGGTAAGTGTGCTTACTTCTCAGAAAGAAAGCATTTGCTACTACTTCTCTGAGACCCTGAAAAGCTTGCTGCTGCATTAATTTACTATTAACTTTTATTAGAGAATTTAGAAAAAGAATTTTCGGCTTTAAAACTCGAAAATGAACGGCTTGATAAGGAGAATACTAAACTTTTGCAGTACCAAAGCAACCAGGGTATACCTGCTGTTATTGAATTAAAATATATTTTTTAAAATTTTTTAAAAATTAAGGAAAACTTGCCAGCGAAAATAGTTCTAAAATTGCTGAATTGTCAGAGGCGCACGCACGCGAGATTGAGGCTCTAAAACAAGTAAGTAAGCATATGCTTCTGTTTTCTTCTTCTCAGCTTTCGCCTGAGCAGAAATACACCGAAGACTTGCAAAAGTCTGCAGAGCGGATCGAGGCTGAGACCAAGAAGGTTGGCGGCTTTCTTTACAAGTCGATTTCCACATTTTTACTTTTTGTTTTATAAAGAGAATGGAAGCGAAGATGGAGAGCGAGAGGAAGATGCAGGAAGGCGAAAGAAAGAAAGATGAAAGCACCGCCAGAGAGGATATAAGTCATCTTTTTAGTGACTTTCGTTAAGCAGCGGCACTGAGAACATTATTACGGTGCAGATGGTGCCACCTCTCGCTGTGTAGAAATAATCAGACAGGCGATAGACGAATTGGACGGCAGCAGCGGCGGGAACGATAGCGCCAGCATTGCTTATACGCTCGAGTCGGTTCATAGGGTAGCCACGTGCTATTGCTCGCATCCTTACGTCTTGCTGAGCCACACCCCGGCAAGTTAGGCCGGAGCGGCAGGAGACCATGTGGGAGCTACACTCAGTTCCCTTATTGGAGACAAGCAAAAGCGGGTGCAGCCAACCTCCTTTGTAGACTTTACTCAATTTGCTGACGCCGTGGTTGCCATGCTGCACAACTCGAAGGGGCTCACTCGACTTGCAGAAGACGATAAGCTCAGGTCTTTCTTCATCTCTGCAAGGCCCGAGAACGCTTCATTATTGGTTTACTATACAGCAACAGTATTCTCACGTCCAATAAGGACGCGGCCAACGCTTCTATTGAGTTGCTTTTGTCGGGTAACTACCAAGACGGCTGCTCCACTGAGTCGCAGGTTTCGTTACGAGTGACATTGTTTGATATTCTTAGCATCTTTTTGACAATTTCCTTTGTAACACAGCTCGCGAAGGTCAAAAACGCTAAGGAAGAGTTAAAAAGCCGTTTTGACAAGGTCACTTTTGCTAACAAAAATTTGCAAAACTGTTACGTATGTCTGCTGAAAGGTAATAGAGGCCACTGAAAATCTTGAGGACAAAAAATACACCGACTCGAGTAAACTCGGTACCATTCTCGAAAATGAGTTCAATTCTGCTACGGAAGTTCGTAGTTTTCATCAGCGCCCGCACGGTTAAGAGGGACTTACTTTTCATCCACGACAGGCAATACACGCTGCCTCTAGAAAATTACAGGAAATGCTGGAAAAGGCGCAGCAAGAGCAAGAGGGTAAGAGTGGGAATTTCCTTTGGACCTCACTGCCCACATCCTGCTGCATTCATGTAGGGCTGAAGTTGGACGTGCACGAGAGCATCCTTGGAGGCTCCAAGTCCCTCATGGACTGCATCCGCCTGCTCATCCGGGAGGCCTCCAACGTGCAGAGCGAGATTGTCAAGCAAAGTTGTGGTTTGTGCTGTAAGCGATCTTTTTTTTTATTAGCTTCTACATAATAGGTGGCGGCTTTGCGGACTCCTCCACCTTTTATAGTAAAAATCACATGTGGGCAGAGGGCCTCATCTCAGCCGCCAAAGCTGTGGGCTGGTATCCTTTTGCTCTGTTGCTCCATCCACAATACATAACCTCTGCTTGGTTTTCTTATAGGGGCGCTGATGTTCTGGTGGAAAACGCGAATAAGGCCGTTTCTGGAAATGGTGGTTTATCTAAAAAAGTATATATATTTGTAAAGATGAACTTTGTGGTCTTTCACGAACCTAAACTTCTTAGCTTGTATGTAGTCTTCCGCTCTTTAATATATATTTTTTTGAAGGCAAGTTTGAGGCAATCAGCGCAGCTGCGAACAACATTTCAGCTTCTACAACCCACTTAGTTACAGCCTCCCGGGTTAAGGCTCCCAAACACAGCGAACATCAAAGTTCGTTTTTATTGCGGAAATATATACACATTTATGATTCCGCCTAGAGAGTCTGGAAGGAGCCAGCAAAAACGTCAGGGAGGCAACTAAAGAACTTGCGGCAATCTCGAAAAATGCGGCGCAGGTGTCTTTTTCTCAATAGTTTCCGCTGTATTTTTTATCGGCTACCAATAACTTTTTATTAAGCTTTTAAAAGGAGAAAGCCCAACGGATTTTTCAAATCTTTCAGACCACGAGGCAAGCCGTGTCGAAATGGAACAGCAGATTAAAGTATACTTATATATCTATTAACGAAAATAGTCCTAAAACTTTCAACTAAGATTCTTGAATTGGAGAACAAACTGGAAGATGCTAGAAATGTTTTATTTTCGCTACGAAAGGAAAGATACAAATAGTTAATAAAGTCGAAGAAAAGCACACATCGGATTTTGATAATATATATAACTTCAATTAAGCATGTAGAACAACACCCGTTAGCTGTGATTGTAATATTTTTCTACAAAGGATGCAGCAGCATTCGGTGGAACTATATTTTACTCAGTTAAGTTTTAGTATAGAAGTGCATCTTTTTACATATAATAGCTAAAGAGTTGCTCGGTTAACAAATTTTCTTCGTCCCAATTTAACAAGTTTAAGTAATAGTTTTGCAGAGTAAGAATACTATTACTTGGAGTAAAATTTTCACTGCAATAATACCATATTCACTTTAAAACACTGTCTTCATTAAGTTCTTCTTTAATCCAATTCTGTCTTGTGAAGCTTGACCTAAAAGTTGGTTCTAATTACTTTTTCTCATGGTGTTCAGAAATTGCCGTACTTTTATATAGTATTTCTTGATAATGTATAAGTATTTATTGGTAAACCACTGGTACTAAATATATTAAGTTAAGATAGATTCAAATCTTGGTAAGTTAGTAATATGAATGTACTATTTTAGTGGGCAATGCCTTTTAAAAAAATAAAAGTGACCCCAAAAATTTTAAATACTTATGTTTTCAAACAGAAATGGTTCACATAAAATTTAGTTATAGTCAAATTAATTTATTATATGTTTTTGTTCCAGTTTTTCAAATAATTATATATTGCGTTAGCATGCTGCCGTTATGAGTAACATAACTTAAACTGCTCAATCTACACTACTCCAGGGGTGGAATGAAAAGCCTCCATATCTCAAGTATAAAAAAAATTATTTAAATTCTTACATAATTAAATTAAGTCAGGGGTAAGTGAGCCTTTACTAATTTTCTAGGTATAAAGCTAAAGTTCTATTAAGAAAAAACTACCTTAGAACTGCTATCATATTTTCTATTATCTGCTACACTGTTATTAATATAGATAATTACCACTTATATTTTCTTATTAATGTTGTTACTAATTAGTACTATTTCTATATTGCTGGATTTTTCAGTCAATAATTTTGTAAATATTTATTTCAAATAACCAGGCAGAGGAAGTTTTTATCTAAAGTAGTAAGACGTTACGAAAGACTCTATCCAGGAAGGTAAGAGGAATCATAACTTAGTAAGATGGCTAAATTTTTATTTAAATTAACTTTAGATGATTTAACGCAGTTTTTAGGTAAGCGCTTAGTATTACCCATGAATTCGAGTTCGCAATAACGATATAATTGCGAAAGTAACATATACCGACGAGTTCCAATAGATATTCATAGTAATCGTTTGCAGTAGTTGCATTACATCTATGATGAAGGTTTATGAATCAAGCAAAGTTACTAATGCATAAGTCATTTTTAGTCTCGTAATAGTTTTGTACATTACCTAGTATATTATCGTTATTTGTAATAATTTTACATTATAGCGGATATGAAGCGTGCATCGCATTTCAATTTTTTTACCAGTTAACTAATTTAAGCCTTTTAACTTGGATAATGACAAGACATTTAACTAAATTATAGAGAGGAGGGGACCTAGAAAAGGGTAACCTTTAAGGACCTTTTTTTCCCTTGAGATAAGCATGGCATGAATCTTTAAAAGGTAACAAACACACTTTCTAGTTTGTTAAGCAATTTTTAAAAAAGGTAAGGTAGGTTGTATACATTAAATTGCTGGAGTGTAGATTTTAAACTGCTGTAAATAATAGTGTCATCGGCTTACAACGCCAAAAAAGGTTTGAGCTATGGGGTAAGATGTTCGAAAAGCGTATAAGGAAAATAAAATAGATGGTTACAGGGCTAGGGAACCCCAGCATTAAGTAATATAAATCCGATAGTTCTTTATCTATGCGAACCACATAGGATGTATCACTAAAAAATTTCTTGGACCCATACCAATATGCTGGAGGTGTGTATTTGATTTTTTTAATAATTTAATAATATTCTCAAACCTTTTTTTGTATTCAAACTTTAAATATAACACGTGTTTTAGACGGTTACCGGTAGTGCGCGCCAGCACATATGTTACTAATAACGGTTTTGAACTATATCTTCGTGGAAGAAGACGGTGATGTGAACATTCTTCTGTTTTACTTTCGTTTGCATGCGCAAGCTTTCGGTTAGTTGTGAGCTGGTAGCTAAGTGTATTTTTACTTCAATAAGACCTTTATTTAAAAAAAATATTTGATGAAAAAAAAGGCTAACTTTTATAGGAATTTTTTTTTAAGCAAGATTTTCACCTGAGTGGAGGAGTTAGAGAATATTTAATTGAAATAGTAAGAGGACTTTGAAAGAATTTTATTTATCTATCTCTACTTTTCCTTTGACAGGTTTCTAGTATCTAACGTGTTAAAGTTTACTAAACGGCGCTTTGGTGTACAAAAACAATTTAAAGGCGTTACAGGAAAATCTAGTATACGCGCTTGAAAATTGAGAAAAAGAAGCTGAAAGCCTTCTGTGAATTTATCTCTTGTTTTTCGGTTTGAAAGTGGTAGAGAAAGGCTAGAAGGAATAGTTGTCTTGTGGAACTGCTCAGTGAGAAGTCAAGTGAGTACACGTTGGTTACAAAAAAAAAATATTGTTAGGTACTCAGTGTGATAACCGCTTTAACTACTTTATTAAGAGGGTTAAACTGGTGTATTCTTTCGAAGTAGCATCATGGTTCGTAAGGACTGAAAAACAGAGAAAAATATCGGGCTCCGACGTTCACCCCTTGGCCTAGAGGTAAAAATCTGCAAGTAAACTACCTACGATAGAGGCGGCCCCTGAGACACCTGGAGACACTGCTCGTCAAGTCTCCCCGGGTGGCATGCCGCAGTCTTCCTTCTCCCTTTTACCCCTCCCCCCTACCCCTCGACCTTCGCCTTGTAACCCTCCCTTTTTGATTTCCTTTCCTTTAGCTTTTCTCAAAAAAAAAATCACGTAACTATTTAGCAGGTTAAAGCCTTATTCATTGACGGAATTAACCAGACAAATTACTTCTATAACTAAAAATGGCTGTGCACCATCTCCCATCTAATCAAGGAGCTTTCAATCTGCCCGAAAATTATATTTGTAATTATATAAAGCACACGTTTTATATTGTATAAGTAAGCTTTCACTTATCTACTTACTATTTACCAGTTTTTTATATATAGTTTACAACGTAAGTAACAAAGTACCTTAAAAAAAGCCTTCTCATTAACTTAAAGTTAGAGTTATTGTCAAGCTTGATTTTTAAATGTTTAAATAACTAAATACTTCTCTCTTTTTTTATGAAGCAAATTTTACATAATGCTTTTAAAATTAGAAGTTGAAATAAAAAAAAACGGAGATAGCTTTAAGTGTTTAGTTTTAAAAATTATTAATAGAAATATAATAAATTTATTGTCTTACGCAGCTAAAATTCGCTTTATAATACCCTTTTGATTAATAAATTAATCTCGTGGGTAGCAGTATTTTCAAATGCTGCCTTTATCAGCTTTATACTTTTTAATCTTCACTTTTAAGTAAATATTTTAAATTTAAAAATAGCGTTGTTTTAGTTTAGTTTGTATTATTATTTTTTGACCGAGAATGTGTGGGTGGTATGATTTTTAGGTTTAAGAAAATACGCCTGATGAGGGAAATTTGAATATAAACTGACTTGAGTGAAAATAAAAGTTATACAAACAGAGAAATGAACATTTGCTTTTGTTTAAATAATACAAAACATATTTGCTTGACCCGAACAAAGTGAAACTAAGAAATAAATAAATAAACCAAATTATTGTTGACATTGTCGTTCGTAGGGTGAAGAAATAAAGCTTGTAGAAAGTCTTAGGTCCTATGAACCCAACTTTTTATGCCCCAGCCTCTGAGAAAACGTATTACAACTGGATGAATCTATCTTAAGCACTAGTTGAAAATAAGTATTACATAAAATCTGGCTTAATAAATTAAAATATAAGTAAATCTATTTTAATATAGAAAATCACCTTTATGAACTAATCCTTGTCACACGAATATGATAAAAAGATAGTTAAGGAAAATATAAATAATATATATCCTGTGAGTTATGCATATGTGTACTTGGCTTAAAACAACTATTGACCATAAAAATTTGAAAAGGTTACCTTACCAGTGTTGACTTTCATAGGTAGTTATTAATATGTATTAAACTCCCACCATCTTTTCTTTCGAAGTCATATACTTTTTAAATTTTCCTCAGAAGGATTTGTTAACACCGATAAAGTCCATTGACTACCTACTGGTCTTTCTATGTATACAAATCTTTTTAAAACAACTAGACTTTTTTTACTCGAGCACTAAAAAATTTATTAGCTTTCTTAGACTACAGAAGTTCTCGGCTTTGTCATTCTTATCATCCTTATACAAAGGTAATAAACAAGGTCAGTCTGTTACATGCCTTCTACAAGGCAGGAGATTCCTCGTAGTGTAATAGTTGCATACTAAAATAACTAAAATCGTTGTAACATTTTCTATTAATATGCACAACTAAAAAATAATCTCTAGCATAAAAAAGTTAGGTATCGCCAAAAAAAGAACTCAACTTGGTTTTAAATGAAAATTAATTGCACAATAAAATACCTTTTTCCAAAAAGAAATTGCATATTAAAAAAAAAAAAGACAGGCATTCGTAGGTGTCGGTGGTTATCGGCTTCGATCACTGCCATGCCAAGCTTCCACAGCACATCTAAATCTGTAAAGGTCTTCGTAGATATATTTCGCGCAATCGCTGTGGCAAAACTACGGCATGTGATTGGCGCGGCCACTGAAGGAAGTTCGTCTTTGCGGAGCTCTCAAAAAAGAGTTTTCCGCTGCTACGCGCCGCCCTACGACGAAGACAGGGTGGAGCTCTTCCTCTATATTTAACCAAAAGTATACCTTTTCTACCAAGTTTGTCTCCTAGCAATCTCATTTCTTAAAATAAGTTGAGTGATGAAAGTTGGCGTGGCAGTTTATGGTCTATATTACAAGTTATTATTTTTAAAAAAAAAAGGATGAAACATTATACAAATAGGATCGTATTTCTAAAATTATATATATAGAATCGGCCGGCTGTCCAGTACTAGGTAGTAACACCTTCAATTGCTTTTTAAGTCGATACTGCACGACCTCGTAGATATATACACCTATTGTTAGACAGGTAGTTGGAACAAAGGTAGGAGAAGGATTTTTAATACTATCTTATCATCCACCATGTCTTTACTCGGGTATAAATAACGAAAGTCAGTTTTTGAGATCTACCAATCTTCGAAAGGACGGGCCACAATGTCCCGAAGAACTAAATATCAGCGGAGAAACACCTCTCCTGGACCTCCTCTATTCAGTTTAAAATAGTTTCGAGAATTATTAAGACCAAAAATGTGAGCCCAAGAAAGAATACAGGGGGGGGCCTAAAGACTAGCCAGCGTGGTTACTAGTTATATTTTCTCAGGATCTACCCTTTTTTACAAAATATAAAATATAAAAGCATATATACTGAAAACTAAAAGAGTTCGAAATAAATCCTTAATAAAGAACTAGTTTTATTATTTTTTTAAGTTAACCATGGGCCCTTTAGCCTATTAAGTACCTCAGCTATTGCTTATAAAAGTTATTTAAAGTAAATAGGGAAATAACTAAATGATTTTGAACGACCAACTGTTTCAAGCATGCTCAATAAATAAGTTCAAAAGAGTGCAGAAAGAATCTCCAATCCTAGTAATTTCTAAGTCTGTCACTTGTATGTTCTTACTATTAGTCACGCAAACCTTATACGTCTTTGCCACATTGATTACTTTCTTAGTTTTACTTATTTAACGCTTTGTCCGCCGTCATAACTGGAACGAGAGTTGTCGTCTTAGCCCATCGGATAAATTCATTGACGCGCATACTCAAGGGGGCGGGTTCAACTTTTTACCGACGTAACTTACTTTTTTCGGGCTTTGATGGTTGCGTAATTAATCTCGCTCCCTTTACTTCTACTATCTTTCATCTCAATTTATTTTCTTAATTGGCTGACAGGAATTTACTTTCACGAGTTATTAAAATTTTTAAGTTTTTTTTTAAATTTGTTCTAAATCAAGCATATTCAAAAGCTCAGTAGGTGTAACAAGTTTAAAAAAGACAAGGGCATATGTGTAAAAGTGTGTACAGAACAAAAAGTACATGCTTTCTATATAATACTTTACCACCAACAAGAAGGTTGATAGCGACTTTATTGGGCCGTACTCTGCACCTACTTGCTGTATAACTCTCGACGTGCCTACTTTAAACTCCTATAATTCTCTTTATGTCCGAAATAAATTTAAATCAAAAAAAAAGAAATTCAAACAATATAAATTTCATCTACTATATGGTACACAATTCTATAAAGTTTTTACACTCCCTTCAAAGGAGAAGGTAAAATTAAAACGTTCGAAATAGCGCCACCTACTCGCATATAGTGAAGATGAGGAACACCAGTAATAAGCAAAAGCAAAGGTAAAGAATTTTATCATACTTGGTTAAAAAGAGCAACAAGAAAACCGCTGACAGCTATTAAATTACAAACTTAATTCAAAACTGTTAACAATTAAATCAAGAAAATAAATTATATATAATAAAGTGCTCTTTCGTAAAAAGATAATAATAGGCAATTTTAAATTCAGGTGAATCATATATGCTTTTTTACTAACTTTATTAGATATGTTATAACATAAATCTTTTATTCACCTCTTTCTTTTTGTCAACTTCGTCCTATTAAAATAATTGCGAATTAAAAAGTTAAGGAGTAACTAAAGAAAAAAAACAAAAAACTTAGGTGCCGTTACATAACTACTAAGCAAAAGAAAAAAGTTAAAATCAGGCGCACTATGTGGGGAAGCTACAATTATAAAAAACCTGAAATTGATTTTCTAAAATTTCAATGTCTACAAGTAGATGATTAATGGCATTCTGGAGAGCGTCAACAGGGGAATAACTCTCTCCGTGGTGTGTTTGAACACGAAGTATAATCTAAGTAACAAAATTAATAGTGTGCCAAATATTACCCAGATAAAAGCTATTTAAAACCTCATGCTGTAGAGGGTGAGGATTTTTATAACCGGAAAATATAACTTGATCGTCTTTCAGAAGCTGCCTACAAAATATTATATTGTTTCAACAGCCAGTTAAAAAAGGTTAGGAGCTTACTCACGCAATAAATTTCCAAGGGTATGATCTTCTTTCTTAATGGTAAACGTAGCTGCGCTAAGAACTTTAGTGTCCATTTCAAAGGTTATTCTAAAAATAAGGATATAAGTTTTTTTATTTAAAACTATATGAAAACTTAATAATAACTTCTTTTCTCCTTCTCCTAACAAAAAGGATTCAGAAGGCTCAGGTTGATTCAAACCGCCCATTTTTAATATTATTTATTTTTAACAAATAGTTGGCACCTACTAAAGTGTGAATGGAACAAAGTCAACACCAATGTCTTCTTTAAGGTCGGCAGTTACAACAACCGGCTTGTAAAAAGCCGGTCAAATTAAGACATGCCCACTTCCTTAAAGTTTAAAACTGTCCAATGAAAACTCATCATGACGTCGTATATAATAGTAGTCCGCTTTCTCAGCGGGCTAGTAGAGAGGTAGGTGTTTTCTTCACGAGGTGCCCTTTGATGTTACGTGTTCTCGAGGTTATCGTTATTATAATAGTAATTTTTTTTATAAAATTATAAGCTTGCCCACGGCCTGCTGTGTATTAATATTTTTTTTTTATTGTATAGTTTAGAAGGTAGGATTTTTACTTATTTGAAGAGTGCGTACTGTATCGTTTTTAACACTAAGCCACCATATTATATAGTATAAATTCTAGAGTTATTCAAAAACGTAATAACCAGTAATCTTAAACCCGTTCAAAAGTGGTAAAGGGCTTGGCTATGGGAACTTCAATTTTTTTAAAAATTGTTAAGTTAAATTTTTATAACTTTTTCACTTTTACCATTACACTATAATTATACTTAATATTGTTGCCTACTATATTTCGATTAAAGAAAAGTTACAGTCTTACGACCCAGGCAGGGCCAAGATGCAAAAGCATTTAGCTTCTAAGGGGCCACTCCGATGATTGCCTAGTAGAATTTATATTTATTAAGTATGATAAAAAAGTATTTTTTTTCAAATCTCAAAGCTGAAAAGCAAAACTAGTTTAGTATCCAAATCATTAATTATTTTTTTTTCAATATTTATTTCTAAATAACACCCAAAGTTATTAAACGTTAACATCCATGTTATTAACGTAGCAGAACTTATTTTTGGTGTTTTAGTTAAAGGGCCCTTCCATTTAAATAATAAATTCACTTTTTATTATTTTTATTACAGTTTTTGTAGTCAACAAATGAAGAGCACCCGCAGAGCGTTGTACTACTGCGTACCTGGAAACAAACGGCTGCGTGTATATAGAAATACAAGAAATTATTATAGGCAAGTTTACTAATAAGGTAGGCTTGTATTTTAAGTGATCTTTTATACCACCTTTTACGTACTTTTTAGATTAAATAAAGATATGCATAATTTTATACAAAACTTTTAATTTTAATTGCTTATGTTGCACAAATTTCTTCTTTGGCGATATTGATAATTTATAATTGGAAACAACCTAATATAAAAGTATTTTTTTGCTCCTTTATCTGATGTGGGCCCTGTAGCGGTGTAAAAGAGCAGTCTAATTACTATGACATTATAAACAAATTTTATACACTTGTTCCTACGTTAGGTAGTTCAACAACTCCGTTCAATAACCACCACCTACGATAGGGTCATTAAGGAATGACGGCAAAGCCAAAGATCTTAGTTATCCTTGTTATTTACCCTATAAACTTCTTTTTTCATTTTATATTATTATTATTGCTTAGTCGGGTCTTGAAGGAAAACACCAATTTATGAGCTCTCAACAGGGTGATAGCGTACACATTAGTATTAAGGTTGTGTTAAAGCAATATCATATATATGCTTAAAAAATAGTCCCACCCCTAACCCATAATATATATCAAAAGACCAATGCGCGGCCGGCGACCGCGTGTACTATCCCAAAATTTTCGTAATTGGCCTCAACTGACAGTAATTGCGCATAGTGAGCCTATCTGTAGGTGGCGATAGCGCGTCGAAAAATGTTATATAAAGGTCTTGGTGTAAAGCATCATTACGAACAAACCATGGCGCGCACACTTGTTTATTGCTAGCAGCCCCTATTATACCGCCGATAGATGTAATGTTTAGTTCCTATCTCCTGGTACAATTCGTTCTTCTAAGGCTTAGCGAAACAAGTAAATTTATGATTCCATTATACTGAGATTGAAACTTACCGGACCTTGCTCTAACAAAATTCTACTATACTGATCCTGGCATCTCTTGCCGTTTTCAAAATTTTTTCTCCTACAATTTTTCGATTTTGCTAAGATTTCCTCATCGTTGGGTCATTTCTGTGAATGCTTTCTAGTACTCGGTGCTCAATAAGTCTCTGAATCTCACTTTTATAAACAGAATTTATACCAGCGCTCCGGGTTCTTACAAAAAACAATATTGAGTCCCTTTTAATGAAAAGACTCGGGGTTTCTTATAGCATTTCTTTGTTTTGGTAATATTATGTAGAGAGTACTGTTGAGCCCTAATCTCACGTTTAGTTTTCTAGGTTTAAACTATAGGGCCTAGAAGCAAAATAGGTAAAAAAAGAAATGTAAGGGGTTTATTATGCTAGCCTCGCTATCAGCAAAGATTAAAAATGCGCTGGTCGATAGGACTTTCACGTAAATTAAGTTTACTTATCTTCCTTTGTCAGAGGAATTTAGTATTGAAAACATGCAACTAGTCTAAATTTCAGAATTAAAAAAACAAAAATCTGAATATATATCCCCTCTCCCTCGCTCTCTAGTCGATTAGAACAAAGTTCTCTAAGTTTTGACCATTCTCTCTTTTAGAAATCATTAACTTTACCATGAATTAACTAACATTTTTAGTCCTGTATATTTTGCTTTTCCTGCTTACAATTTTTTAAAGCAAGCTTTCGGTCTCGCATATAATTTTTGCACTTAGTTGCATGTTAAGACTCAATTACGGACAAATAAAGAGTTACGACTAAAGCTTTGCGAGCTCGAGGCATCGACTCTTATAAACATCCGATGCCCTTCTCATGCTTAGAAACAAGTTAACTTTTATTTTTTATCACTAGCACCCTTTATAGGAACAATTTACACTACGAAAGGGTTTGCGACCTAACCTCTTAACTAAGATTCTCATCATGTTGCTGCTTTAAACAATTTTTCTTATAACGACGATATGTTTAAAAGCTCAATAAAAATCACGTAAAAAGAGTTCTAGATATACCAATTTCTAATAATGTTAGAAAATAGCTGCTAATGTTTAGGTTTTTTGGGTTTAAATGTAACTTTAAAAACTTTTAACCGCTGATATGGTTTAACTTTTCAAGCTCTTTTCGCAACCTTTGCAGATGTCTAAGAACGTTTCCACTTCTCTGACCGTACTTGTATACTATAATCTTTTTACGTTTATATTAGTATTTTAAAACAGTGGTAACAGTTTATACTTATTATTACACTACCGAAAAATAGTATCGTCTACTGCCACTTCCCGTTAAACTTAATTTAGGTTAAGTACGTTTTAAGTGTTAGTGTTTAATATCTCTTTAACTGCCGGATGTCTGCTTTCCCTTAAAAGCATCCTCTAGTGGAGCGGGTAATCATGCTAGAAGTTTTACACATGCCACTTGAATTAATCGTAATGTCTGTTATATATACTCTTTTATGTGCTTTATCTCTTTGTAAAATAAGAGCTTTTAAAATGTGGTTTTTCAGCTTTGAGTGGTCCCAATTTAATTACTGCTTCCTCTTACATGCCTATCCTCTAATAAATAACAAAATTTAAATTATTTAGTGTAAGTACTTTACTTATTCAAAATCTTATATTAAACTAAATACTTAGAGCGCATTCACTAATTTATAATTTTAGTTTTTTAACACTTAAATGCACTCTTCACTTCACTTCTCTTTTTTTTTTTAATATAGCACTTTTTATAAACTAGGACTTAATATTTTATTACTCTCACCTTTTTACAACTTAGGTGGAAGCCTCCATGTTTTCTGTTATTAAGCTTTAATTTGAAATAATTTTTCATGTTCTTTCTCACCATCTCTTTGCCTGAGGCCTTCTTGTGGCCGTAAGATACCTCACTTTTAATACTTTAAAACGACGGGATGGGACTGGGGGGAGGGGGGGGGGTAAAATTAATACATTCAAACTATAATCTTAAAAAAAAGCTAAGTTATTGTTCGTAATTCATTATTAAACTCCAAAATTGTTTAGTAATCTTTTATGTACCAAGATACCAATAAATTATAATAATCTTACTTAAGCACTACACACCTTCCGTGACCTGAGGATTAGGTGCTTTATAAAACTACCTTATATAAGTAGAAACTAGCCTCAAAGAAGCCTATTATGTAAATGAGATTTTTAACACTGACACGCTTTGGGCCTCCTCTTGGAAGACCTTAGACTGCTTTACAAAAAGGCGGGGGAAACTGTACCTGTATTTCGTATTAGTCTTCTATACAAGCTGCTACGAATCATGGAGGGAGCACCGGCCGGGGTTTGTTCGAAGGGATACGATACCTAAGCCTCGCTGTCCCATTTATAGTTGATACTAAAGTTCTGTTCTCAGGTTTAGAGCGTAGAGCCCTTGCTAACATTCTAAACGCAATACTGCACCCTATACGAACTTAACTATAATCCGCGCAATGCACTTAGAATTTTTCTTTTAAATATAAATAGGGATAAGGGCTGAGGGTAAAAAATGCAAAAAAAAGAATACAAATGAGATTGCTTAGCCCTGAGAGAGCTTGAAAAATCGGTGTTTGTTTACCCAAGTGAACACCAGGAAATATCTTACAAAGATAAAGGGCATTGTTATGTACCCCAAGCTCTTGTACAGCCAGCACGTTTGCTAATTCCTTAACTGTGCGTCGAGTGGTTTCCCTCATAACTAGATAAAAGAACTACCAATGAAATTATTCTTTAAACTTAATGGCTGTTCGAAAAGACATCTTGTATCTTCCCTTTGGTTTTCCGCCTCTCGATGAAAGAGGAAAAACAGCTTTAATTAGTTTATGTATCGGTTTCTGGAGCTGCACTGGTGCTTAAATACTTTATGTTTTTATAATTTCAAGTCAATACTAAATTTGCCTTTTTTTTAATATTGCAGGTCTAATTATTGCAATCTTTGTCTCAGTAATTCGGCCCTTTGGCTTTTATATGTTGTTGCTTGGGATATTCCATTTTTTAGAATATTTCTTTCAAGTGTTGTATAACCCACTTTCAACCAACACAGACGGTATAATATTAATTTTTTTTATAGTTATTTATTAAGCTTAACTACAAACAGGTTTTTTGATAAATCATAGCAAAGAATACATCACTGCTCTTTTTTTAAGTTGCCTGGAGTACTTTTTGTTCTTTTACAATTCTCCTTATATAAAAAGCTTTCACTGGATATCTTTCTTAGGTTCCCCCTTTCTTATAACCCTCTTAATGTGTTATATTATAGTTAAGCTCCTGTTGGATTTATTATATGGTTAAAATAAAAAAAAAATAGTGTGACTCTGTTATTTTTTTTTTACATTCAAGATTGCTCAATTTGAAAAGTTTTGCAACTCTAACTAAAGTTTTATTATTGTAGGGCTCTTTATTTCCTTGTGTGGTCAGTTTCTCCGCACGGCTGCGATTATTTGTGCTGGCAGTAACTTTACTCACCAGGTCGCCCGTTTTTATTACGACTACTCTTTTGCAGAAAAAATATTTAGTGTTTTCGAGTAGATTTCTTCCGGTCAAAAGCAAGCTAACCACCGCCTTGTAACTTCAGGCGTGTATAAAATTTCGAGACACCCATCTTACCTTGGCTGGTTTCTTTGGTATCTTTTACTAGTTACAATCCTCATCCCCTTTATCTACGTTCCTATGCTGTTCGACTTGCACCGAATTTTATAGAATTATCTATTAATAAAAAAAAATTTAAATTAATTTTTTAAGGAGCCTTGGTAGCCAAATTCTTTTGTCCAATCCACTTTGCTTTGTGGGCTTTCTAATCGTTTCGTTGAAATTCTTTAAAGAAAGGATTGAGCTTGAAGAGTTCTGGCTTGTTCTGTTTTTTGGAGAAGACTACGAGGCTTATCGGTGTTGTTACTTTCTGAATTATATCCGCTTTGTTGCAAGATTTTTGTAATTACTTTTTCAGGGAACGCGTGCCTTCGAGAATTCCCTTTCTGGATTCCATACTTAATAAAAAAAAATAAAATTTCATATTTATTTTGCTAAGTTATTGATTTAATTGTTTATAGTTTTGCCAGTTTACCGCGAAATAAACTTTTTGATTGATCAACTTAAACAGAATGAAGGCATCAATAACTTGAGAAACATTCCTATTAGACCAAAATTCTGAACTCAGCGCATTTACAGGATTTAGTTTGAGGATTTTTTTAATGCACGCGTGCCAAGTCGAATATACCTTTTATATGTGGAAGTTTCTGATTAACTCACTCCATATATTTATATTAAAAAAAAAAGAAACTATACATCGCATCTAGACTTCTTGAGAGAACATGGAAAAAGATTTAAGCTACAAGCTACAGGGCGTTGGGGCGAGTCGTTGGTGATTCTGAGGGAAGTAATATAAACTATTAATGGGAGAGTGACATTTTTTTTTATCTTCAGAAGTTAGTATTTGACACAAATTTCAGCAGCTAAGATGATACTGTAGTTATTCTAAGTCAGTGCGCCATCTATGGAACCTTAAAGAACTTTGGAATCGTTAAAAAGTTATGCTGGCTACCAATGTAAAGATACACGAAATTTAATTTAATGAGTATATCAACAAGGCACAGATTTTTGGAAATATAAATATGCTTGTAATGTTCAGAACGTGAAACATATATTTATGAAAATGAACTTTGTTGTAAGGAGCTGGCTTTAGCAAAATTTAAATGCTTTCTGTATTAATACATTTCCTTTGCTACCTTTGAAATATTACCACAAAAATAGTATGACCTTTAAAGAATTTGCAAGCCGATTTATAAAATAAACTCGATATATATTCAGAGGAAAAGATATTGAAATAATTTTAAAAAAGTAGCAAAAATAAATTGTAGAAGGAAAGGATGCAATAAAAATTACAAAAACTAAATTTATTGAAGAGATACAATTAAGTGCTTAGTACAAAACAATATAATATAGCCCGTAGAAAATTTTTTAATCACCTTATATTGCTTCTGTCAATAGCCATTTTTCTATAATTATATACACTGGCGCAGGCACAAATTTAGAAACATTTTTTATTTCTGTTAATAATTTGGATTTTAGTTTATTTTGTAAATTTACAAATAAATATATTTCTTGAAAAAGGGTTGATTCCCCCAATTATACTTTTGTTAATGCAAACGTTAACGGACTCTTACGAATGCAAAAAAAACTTTACGACTCCTTCCCAAGATATCTTTTAAAAAAAACTTTTGAAGTAATTAAGTGTCCTCGACAGCAAGAAAGCAGTGTCAGGATTATCTATTACCAAAATTTTAAAAAACATAATCCAGAATATATAAAATTCAAAGCTTACTCTTTTTGCCAAGGCGAGCAAGGCGGTCAGAATCTTTAAAATCTTCTTTAACAGGAGCCTCTTTCCTGAGTCCAAGCTGCTTACAACTATAATTAAAACTTCTGAAGTATAAATTTTTAAAATATGTATATAACTGAAGCATAATATATAAATAAACCTCAAAATCTTTTTTGTCCGCCTGAAATTTCAACTGGTGGATTTCCCGATGCAACTCCTCAACCCGTTGAGAAAGGGTGTTAAAAATCTCTTGAAATTTTTCTTCTTTCAGCTAAATGTATAGGTAAATTCAGTACTATAGTAAAAAATTTACGTTATTGTTATCAATACAAACCTTAAATATTAATTATTTAAAATGGGGAAAAGTTCCAAAGAAAAAAATTAATATTTTTTTTACAAACTGCAGTTATTAAGAAATGTACTTTTTCATTTGCGCTGGATCGCCAGTACTCAACCATGACTGCACCCTAAATAGGGAAATAGCTAAGAATTTTTTGAATTTAAAAACTATACGGAAATCTTGTTTGAGGATATATTATTATAATAGTAATGAGCGACAGATGTTATATAATTTATAATTTTTACATATGCTGAAAAAGTTCATACCGCGGCGACACTATAAATGAATAACTCGCTAAAGACTTCCGCGCCTACAAATAAGATTAGGCCCAAGTGTGTGTAATTTTATTTAAAAATAATTAAAAAAGCTATAGTTAACTATATTTCTAATACTTTTTAGTTAATAAAATTATTTCAACATTATAAGAACCGAGGTCAAAAGCTTTCTCTTCGGATAAAGGTTTGACATCAGTTTTAAATTTTCCATTCCAAAATTTAACTTGAGTTTTTACATCGATTCTATGAAAAAACTGAAAAGCAAATTATAATAAAAAAATTGCAACAATAATGTTATAAAATAAGTATAAGTATCAATCAATAAAAAAACTAGTAAAGAGTTTTTCAGTATATAGCAACTTGAGCGAAATATATAATCGTCTTTCTTATACGAGGGGAACCAGCGGCATAATTCTTTAGGCGAAGAGAAATGGGTTTCGAAACTTGTCTAACTTTATATCAAGATTTTCAATTTATTACTTTTTACTAAGTATCACAAGAAAAGTACTTGCAATTAGAGCGAGCTTTGCTAAAGGAAGAACCATCCCACACTAAGCTAAAAGACGAGATGCAAGTCTCAAAGGAGTGATTCCGGCCATTTACTGCACGTTTAACTCCAACTAGCTGCTTTTTCACCTGACAATTTAACCAATAAATAAAAAAGTACTTCTTTTTGAAAAGTTTTCAAATATTTATTTAATTAGTTAAAAATAATATTTTTTAAGCTAAAAAAAAACCTATGAAACCTAAAGATTAAACTAAAATGTAAGAATGGTTTTTTTAAATTTTTTTCGTTTCTTTATAGCATATCAACATTTTAAAAACTCGAAAAAATAAAGCTTGCTATTTGTTATAAAATAAATGAGTGTATTTCTGTTGTAGCAATATTTATTGCGCGCTTTGTTACGTGCAAAGTTACAGAAGCGGTCAAACTGCAGAATTTTGTTATTTTCAGCGCTTTAGTATTATCAAAAGTTTATATTCATTTAAGTGATAAGCGAGGCTAACGAATTTAAAAATAATTACTTTGTTGTTAGGAGGGTGGGAGCGGTTTAATTAGGGGAGCATTCGTAACTTTTTATTAAGATCTAACGTTTTTAATAAATCAAAACAGTAGCCGAAGAGTGCAATCCAATATTATTAGTAGCTTTCAAATTTAGTATGTATAAGTATGTAAAAAATCTATTTTCACCTTGAGAAAAAGAAAAAGATTTTTTAGTGGCTCAAACTCTTTCCCAAACCCTCATTTTTATGTCGCCATTAGGTAAAAATATCTTGGCGATAAATATTGGTTCCAGACTTAATTGGAAAGCTCATAATGAGTGCCGTGTTAAAGTAATTGAGAATTTAAATGACACCTTGTATACTTTTATATGCCAAAGAAGCCAATGGGAGCTGAAAAATAAACTTTATGATAAAAAACTAAAAGCAGGCCTATAATAAATTACGCAGTTGTAGCGTGACCCTCTCGTGCTGGGTTTTGCATATTAACAATTTACAGATTCTTTAAAAGAACCTTCTTAATATGTTTACTAGCGCACCTTGGTAGGTGTAAACTTGCAGGTATAATCTTATTAAAAGTAATCCTATAAAATTATTTCTATTCGGAGTAAAATTAATTTTTTTTGAATAGTGTTGTTCTGGAGTACCAACTTAACCCTATTTTATAATTGGTCCTACAGTAAACACTGTTAACCACTTCGGTATTAGCAGCTAATTCTTACCAAATTTACTGCATCGGTAGAGGTCACGTAGACTTTATGCCATAGAGAAGTTTTCACTTAACTTTTCTAGGGAGGTTAAGTAATTGCACTTATATTACGATGAGATATAGCGTTGAAAAAGTTTTATAAGTTAAACCTTTTTACGTTACGTTAAAATTTTTTAGAGTTTGCTCTTAAAGATTAACCCTTTATAGTAAACAGCAAGCCAGTTGACAACTTTTTCAATTCTAATTACCGTTGACTTGGCTACTTCTACCTTATAACCCATCTACGCCATAAATATACATTAAATCTTATTTTAAGCAGACATTGAACAGAAATTTATTATATACTTTTTGAATTAAAATAAAGAGTGTCAGATGACCCTCTTATTACATTTTCGGAGTTCTTTTCCTCTTGTGCAAATCGAATTTTAATAAACCGAAAAATTGCTAACCAAAAACAGTATCCAGCTACAAAACCTAATAATATAGCAAGGTAAACTGGTATGGATAACCTAATATTTTAAATATATCTGAGTTATTTATTGAAAAGAAGCTGAACGAAAGTAATTACCAAGTGTCGTTCACCAAAAATGGATAGACCCATATGTCCGATAGACTGTTGTAGATCCAAGAAACAAATGCTAAATAAAAAATAAATAAAACTAGTTTTCAGCATGGATGATTACAAATATAACGCTACTAAAATGTAATATTTTTAATTTTTAAAAGAAAATGGTCTCAGCTCGACTACCTGTAATTTATACTATGTACAAACTTTGTAGATTGTTTTGTAAATAAGTCTACTCTGAGTAACAATATTATTTAATTCTATTTAGTCAGCACATAATTTCTGCTTTAATGTCACAACATCTTGTATGTACCGTTTTTAAATGCATATTGCTAAAGAAGATTGGATCATGTTACTCTTTCAACTTAATGAACTGCATTGTAAAATATGTTAAGGTAATAAATAATTACTAAATAATCCCAGGTATAGGATAAGCCAGAGCATATGAGGAAAATGAAAGGCTAAGCGGTTTAAGTAAAATTCTGGTATAAGCAATAATATGTTGATAATGTGCTCAGCATAACTTGTGAAATTTAACAAAGCACTTTCCTGATTATTTTTTTTGGCATAGGGGTATAACTGTATATAAAAATACAATAACTTAAAAATTAATTATACGGTTTAGACAAAAAAGATATACAATTGCCCAAAGGACAATATCTAAAATAAGAGCAGCAGAAACAACTAATTGAAATGAAATCATCTGATATTTTTCTAATCTGGTAATGTCTGGGTATTTCTTTAGTTTTCCAGTCAATTTTTTATCCTTAAGACAATACCTATTTATCAAAATGATTTAGAAACGATATAACTAATATTTTTTTTTAAGAAACCTTAAAGTTACTATCATAGCGACGAAAAAATACAAAGTCAAGTAGAAAAAAGACCAGACTGTAAAATATGTCCACATCTTCCACGACATTTCCACTGCCTGATTAATGAGCACACCTAAGATTAACTTCTTTATCATTTTATGTTTCTCTAGTTACTAATATATACCTATTCCAAACATGAAGATAATCGTTCTGTAAGCCATTAATATTTTCCAACTTATTTTTCTGTGAAACTTATAATTAAAAGTATCCCAACCACTTACAGTTGTTAAGTGTTTAAAATAGGCGAACTTCCCAAATATTAGGAAAATAATAAGAGATAGCATCAATCCTAATTAAAATAATATTATAAGTAAGCTATCGTGAACATAATTTCCTCACCGCTCAGAAGAACGCCCAAAATAATGGTTGGAGCAGAAGCACCCATTTTTTCACACTTACTAATGGGATAGTAGTAGGGTTAAATTAAAAGTCATAATTATAAATAATAAATTGCTATGAAGGATAACTTTGGTAATTATTCCTTCAATTTTTTTTCAAATAGTTGATATAGAAAGGTGACCTGCTATATTTGTTCTGTTGAAAATTTTTTTTACTAAATTAGTAAATAGTTTACTGTTAAAATAAATTACGCAGTTTACATATTTGTAACTTTGTTTATTTTCTTATAAATTGCAATCTAACTAGTGTGTTTATCAAGGAGTTAATAATCTAGTAAGATTATTACGATGTACATGTATATAAACAATAATTTTACAATAAAGTCGTAATCTTTTGCTTTCCAGTTTTCCAGACCCTTATTCCTTGTCCTTATTAACACTGTTAGTAGGTTTATAGAGCCTGCATACTCTTAGTTGGTTAGGTCAAACTATTATTATTAACGTTTAGCTACTACAAGAAGTTTTAAAGGAGGTCTTTAAAGATCTAGTACTTAGTTAGTGATCTAGCATATACGCATCACTACCTTTTGACGCTATCAGAGTTTTAAGGCTAACGTGTTAAATTAATATTCTATAATACTTAAATGGAGTACTTTAGATATTAATAACTGATTTTTCTAGTAGTATCTACTTTATAAACTTTAACCCTACTTCGAAGTTAAAAAAGTTTGAAGACAAAAAAGTAGCAAAAATAATAAGAGTAGTGTTGATGTTTTAACCCAAAAAATAGATTATTATTTTTTTGTAAACTTGTAAATCAATAATTTCTATCATAAAAGACCAAGTAGTTAAAACTCTTAAGCGAACTTGAGAAGAACTTTTGCATTGAAATAATAAATTATGTTTTTATATCCATTTTAGCTATGCTGACCTGTACACGCGTATGCCAGCGCATATTATAAAGTAAATAAGATTTGTGCTTAAAAAAAAGGAAACGCATAATTATAGTTTTATTTTCAATTCAAGTATTATACACTTTGCCTTAACCAACTAGAGATATCTTTGTCTTAGGTATTTAAAGTTCTTATAAGTGAATAGCTAACGTGCTTACAGTATTCATATAGAGGCGATTAGTGTAGATAATATGTGTTAGGAAATTGTTCCTTCCTAAGTTAACCTCATATGTGTCTTTTTTTAATGCTTTCATATATATATAAAATATTTGAAGGTCATTCAAAGTTTATAACAAATATTAACCACCATGGTAGAACAAATTATAAAGAGTAAAATTATTTGGTTTCATTTAGGTTACACTTTTTCATCACCTATTTTTTAGCATAATTGTCTATTAACATATAAGGTAGGCCCAGGTTTGAGCGATAAGGGTTTTTAAACTTAATATTTTGTCTTTAACTTAAAGCCAATATAAAATGGAGCTTCCGTTAAATCGCTCTGAGTGCGTTATTCAGGTTATTTTAAGCCAAATTAGTTGTTTTTGATCATAAACTACAATAACATATAGACTGTAAGCGCTTACTGCGTGCTTAATAACTCCAAATTAACTGAACATTGGTTACTTAGCTTAGTTTATACCCAAGGAAAACCCAACGAAGTTGCTGTTTTTATTCATAAATACTCTAAACCTTTCCTACTCCAGTACATATTCCCGATTGATGCCAACTTTAACTTCGAAACAGGTGTTAACTGTCATATATATTAATACAACTATTTCTTTACGACTCTATTATTTATTACGAGTGTAAATTCTTTTTTTGTTTTGTTTTAATTACTCCATAAAAATTTTAAAGCAAATATTAACCCTTTAAGTTACAACCTACAATAATTTTATAATTAGCTTTAACTTCTACGAAAGCTTTGTTAACTTTACTTCTTTATTACCCACTATTGTTTTGTAAAGTTAGTTTACCCTTACATCTTACAAATTTTTAAACTCCTTCATTGCTCCTTTATATCATCTAAAAAAGTCATAAGATATTTTCTATTTTATTTAACTAATTTAGCTCCTATAATATTTAATTTTAAATTAAAACTTAGTAAACGTTGCCCAATTTTATTTTCTATAAATAATAATTCTATTTTTAAATAATATATATAAATTTTAAACTTAAATTTTGCTTTTAGTTAAGTTTGTGGTCTACCTAAAAAAAGGTGTTATCTTATAATTTTTTGGCGTATATATTATAAAAAAAATGTTTAGCTACTCTATTAAACTATTTAATTATATTTTTAATTTTTTTGTACCATATAGTAAGTCTAGGATAGACAGTAAACTTGTAATGGTCCACTGTTGGAACCTCTTCATTTGCGTAATATAAAGTTTACTTTTTTTATTCAGTTAAAAAAAAAATTATTAACGTACTCTAGCATGTTTTTATAAAAAATCTGCGGGTATTGAATTAGCTATGCTAGGCAATGTTATTAGAGAAAAGGGCTTTTTTATTAAAAGAATTGATTTTTAGAAAAGCTCTCTTTTTTTACGTTTTTTTATTTCAAATTTTAATTTTAATTGTTTTCATTTTTTCTCTATATTTAATCTTACTAACGCAAAGAGTTTTATAATTCAGAAGGCAATGTTCTTAAACTTACCTCCTCGAAAAGTGGATCAGTTCACTTAAAAATTGAAGTTTTTAATGATATTGGAAGTTTCATAGGCAGCCTTACTAAATATAAAAGGATTGCTGGTTTCATTTATATAAAAAAATAGTAAACGATTTTAGTTTTTTTACGTGTTAATTAAAATTTAGAGGACTTACTTTTGGAAAAAGGAAAATCCCATACATTTACCCTATCCTATACTTGTACTAAGGAGTTTGAAAGTTCTACTCTATATCCTTACCCTCAATCCTCACAGTTAAACTATGTTTTATATAACTAAATATTTATCTTAGTAAGTCATCTACAGTCAACTATAGTTTTTGGTTAAAAGAAATTATTTATTAATGCAGAGCGCTTGATAGACTGATGCGCCAGAGGCGAGACCAATACTCTAAAGTCGAAACTATGCGGTGGCAACTTTACCTATCTTTATATACTTAAATACACGCTTTCCTTATTTTTGGTGATTTATAAGTTTGGCGCCATTGCAGTTATAAAAATATATGTTTTACTAAAACGCACACCATTATTTCTTTTTTAAAATTTACACAGCCTAATATTTCGTTATTTAGTTTGCAATAACTTTTTTTTTCGTTTACAATACTTTTAAATATATTTTCTCAAAGTTATATTTTAAATTTTTTTTCTTTATAATATGTTATAACTTTATTTTTGTTATTTTTTATTTTAATTTGACATAGAAAAAATAATGTTTTTTGATTTACAAAGTATCATGTTTATCTATTAACACTTAATTTTTTTTCCAGAATTTACATAGGCACTTTTAATGCTCACAACCGCCCAAGTTCTGAGGCCGATTTGATTGGCTGGCTTGTAACTTCTCTCAGTGGATTGGATAGTCTGCCAGATATGTACGCTATTGGGTTGGTTATCAATAAATCTAATTTTTCCTTTAAAATTCGTTGAGACTCCTAACCCAATTGGTTATGACTTTATGAGGGATAAGTGTTTAAAAACTGTATATTTTTATATTTTTCATTTTTATTCGGTGTAACTAACTAAGTACAAATTGATTCCAACTTAAATATTGCTTTTTAAATTAAATACTCCATTTATTAGTTTTCTCTTTTTATTTTACTTTCTTTGCACGTAGCTTAGTTTATTTACCTCAAATGTATAACTTGACCTTTTTTTTCAAGTTTCTAGAAGTTTGTATATAAATTAATTCAAACCTTAAAATAATTAAATAAAAGTTTACAAGAAGTGGATCTGAGCGCTGCTGTGTTTCTCACGAATTATTCGGATAAAGTGGCCGCGTGGATCGTCGATATTCAAGAAGTTCTTCCTTCAGATTATCTTTTAGTACTTTTATTATTATAAATATATCTACAATATTAATATTATTTATTACTATAGCTAGAAAGTAAACAGATGGCCTCTATGCTCCTTTGTTTATTTTGCCGTGAGGAAGTTGCTAAACATATTACTCATGTAGATTCTTCTTTTTGTGGATGCGGTGTTATGAATATTGTGGTTACCTACTTATTTTAACTTCTATTCCATTTATAGAATTATAATAAACCTATTAAGGCATAACTTTGAAGCCAAAATAATATTTTTTATATAAGCACACAACTTTTAGACGAATAGCTTCAAGTTAATATTAAAATATAATATTTTGTTGGCCGTCGAATATTTAAATAAAACAGCGAATTTATGTTTATTGTTGTTTTGAATAAGGAAGGATTGACCCGTTCATAATTAATTGCTACGAAGGTTTAGTTAGTGAATAGTAGGAACAGTAACTCTAGAAGTATAACTTTTAACTAAGAAAAATAGAAGGCTAACTTTATTTTTTTTTTATATTTGTTATTAGGGGAACAAAGGGGCGGTCGGCATCAAAATGAAATATAAGGACACTCGCCTTTGTTTTGTTTCGTGCCATCTTGCTGCCGGTATATTACTTTTATCGTTATTATTCATTTTATTATAATTAATAAAAGAAATGAACCAACTTGAACGCCGCAATCTTGATTTCCACGAAATTGAAAGCAGATTGACATTTTCTACTTCTGATAAGTATCCACGCATATATTTAAAATTATAATATAATGTTATAATTATTTTAAAAAGGCCCTTACACTCTATTTTTCGTCCGGCACATGTACCGCAAAGCGGGTCTATATATGATCATGAGTAAATTTTTAACTAAGTTTGTTTTTATTATTCTTATATTTTTCTTAGCATACTTTTTTGGTTTGGAGACATGAATTATCGAATTCCATTGAACTGTGCTGAAGTATATTATATAGTTTATTACACTGGTAAGTATGAATACTGTTTTTTTAGGTTCAACATCTTTGTTCATCCGAAAAATACGAAATTCTACTGCAGTACGACCAGCTTAATATTGTAAGGTGCTTCAACTTTTTTTTATATTAAATATGCGAACATTTAGACGCCTGTTAGTATACAGTAGCGTTAGAAGAGCTTTAGGATACCTAATTAATAATGGCTGCTTAGGTTGAGTGATTGGCCGATCAATGTCTTTGTTAGATGTGCGCGAGTTTCAGTTTTCTTTTTTACATATTCAGGCAGCAGAGAAGGGCCTTTGAGAACTTTGAAGAGGGAGTTGTACACTTTCCGCCGACATTTAAGTATATCCCGGGCACCGATATTTTTTACGCGAAGTAAGCCCGAGAGTTATTTCTAGTGAGCACTAGTGACAACGATAAAGTTCTACCTTCACGTGTCCTGCCCTTTTTCCTTAAAGTGGATTAACTCACGTTGACAGCGACAACACGTTTCTGCTGCCAGGTCACGTGGGGTAGTACTACACTATTCCTCATTAAGCACGCGATATTTAGTGACCTCTCAAGCTTTATAATTTATCGTTCAGTAATATATCTTTACTGTAATTTTAGTGAAAAAAATCCACGTGTGCCCGCGTGGTGTGACAGAATTTTGTGGTATTCCGATCTCCATGATGTTGATCAGGCATTGTTATCATACGTTTCATATTTATTATTATTGTTTATATTCGCTCCTATTAGTTATTGTATAACTCTTATCCTCGAATGCTAATGAGCGACCATAAGCCTGTTTACGCTGTTTTTGACGTAAAGGTTATTCTTGTAATTTTTATCGATTGTTAGGATTTGTTTTTTATTATCCTTCAAGGCCTATCAAGAGGATTATGGACAATATAGAAGTATTTTTAAATCTCTTCTTGAAGAAAGCGATAAACTAGCCAACCTGATGAAGCCTGGTACGCTGTATCTATTCCCCTGTAGTGTGCTTAAGTTCATTTTAAATATCCCTAGAAGCAAAAGTTGACGCGAGCGTCTTCTTTGAAAAAGTTTATTTTTTAGGCTCTTTTACCAAAGATCTTTGGGTAGAAAACGTTGGCGTCGTATGTGTTTATTTTCTATATACCTCATTGTCTTGTAAATTTTATAGAGTTTATTAAAAAATTAATTGAAATTTTCATTCACATTTTTAACGATATTACTTATTATTTTAATATTTATGCTGATATATATTCTTTTTTTGACCTTTACTGCTTTATCTCGGTTGCCATTGGTTTACTAAATTACTAATGAAAGCAAAATATTATATTAGTTCCTTTTTATGACTCGCTTTCTTTATTTTTATATGCATAAAAAAAGTCTGAATTCAAGTTTGAATTTATTGAAACCGACAAACAGAAGTCTTCCTTATCAAAGTATTTACAAATAGACCCAAGAAAAGCCACTGTCGCGCCAGGCACATAATTTAATATTAATTATTATTACATTTACGTTACCATTACTTTATAGGAGAAAAATTTAAAGTTCTTGTGTGTTTGAAAGTTGGACCCAAAGTTTGTAACGTTATAAATATATTTAAATATTTATAATCAAAAAAAAGAAAGAAGATTGATATAATGAAAAAAATAAATTCATCTAACTCTAATAATTTTAGGCGGCTTTTCTCTTGAACAATATTATAAACTTTTCTGAGCTTTTTATTTTACATTTAATTGGTGGAAGGGATATTTTTATTGAAATTAACGGGAGTTTCATGGGTTGTGCTTATTTTTAATTTTTAAAATTCTACATTATTTATTATTTTTTTATATTTATTAAATATTGTCCCCAGTTACTCCGTACTCCCGAACTTTAGAAGGACTTTTAGCGAGAACTGCACCCGTAAGAAGTCCTTGCGGACACTTTGTATATTTTGTTAAAGACGGATGAAAAATATATTTTATAACAAAAATTTATTGGTGCAGGACGAAAATTATATACTTTTAAAGACACGTGGTCTTCTTTCATCGGGCAAAGCTTTAACCGTTCCTGCCGAGTTAAGGATTCTCGTGGACTATATTTATAAATATGGCTCCACAGAGGTATATCTTTGTTGTTATTTACTTATATATATGTTTACTATTACCACTAGCCTGGAGTCTTTTGCCAAGCAGGTTCTTCTTTAGAAGGTGGTATTATTGCTGAATGTTTAGGTATGCTTGCTTTATTTACTATTCTTTTACGGAGCATAGCAATGTTTATTATTGATCAGCTACTGGCGAATCGCTTGAGGGCCTCGAGTTTAACATCCACTCTGTCTGCTCAGCGTTGTGTCTCTTTTTGACTTCTCTTCCAGACAGTGTCATCCCCTCCCGCCTGTGCGAACATATTGTTTCCTCTACCAAACCCCATGATGTAATTTGTGCTACTTATACTATATATACATTACTTGATAAAAACTTAAAAAAGACATTAGAAAAACTTCCTGTGTCTCATAGAAATGTATATGTATTTATGATTCAACTGGCTAAAGAGTTACTCCAACGTTCTTCAGTTAATGGATTAAGTCGGGAAAAAATAAGTAAATATTTCTCTCTTTCTGCTGTGGGCGTTGCGTGGGTGTAGCCAAGTCACCAAGGATAAGCAAGGCCATAAATTCTGCGTAAAGAGGGTTAGGAATAATCTTAAATAAGACGGAACGTTAAGTAAATTAGCAATAATATGATTGGTAAGTATCTAAGCTGCCTTTTGTCTATTGGTCAGCATTTTCATAAAAAATTTAGAAAAGTCAAGGCAAACATATAGGTGTAATTTTTATTAATATAATTGTTATAACAGTTTCTTGCGTTAGTAATGGTATTGCACTTATAATGCAGGCCTTTTGTATGCAAAGATCCTGTATCCTCCCGTAAAGAAGAAAGCCAATTCTGCTCGTATATACGAGTCTTTATGGTATTCTTATTATGTTTACAATTAAAAAGTTCCTTTCTGATAGAGAAATATGAAAAAATTATGAAAAAAAGGTCCTGCTTTATTGCTATGTTCTTGTAACACTTAAAGGTACTTTCTAGTTACTGTAATCTTCAAGTTTTTTTATACAAACATATTTGAAGGAAAAAGAAAATTTAGTGCAAGGCAGGACTCTTCAACTCACAGTAGTTATAGAAATAATTGTTTTAAACTTTTATAATATAATAAACCATATTCAAGGACAAAATTAGTAGCACTGATTGCCTTTTTACACCACATTCCTATAAAAAGCGTAAACAAGCAGGTTAGTATGACGCAGGTTAGCATCACGCCATTACATATCTTACCGTATTGCAACTATTGAGCAACTCTCCGCGTGAACTGGTTTGATATAATTCCAGGAGCATCTACGTTGTAAAAGTTTCCAGAATTTTTTAAATATTTTAGTAAAGTTATCTGTTAATTTTTATAAATATTTTAAGTAGTTTGGATTAACTTTGTAACTGCCTAAGGATTCATAATCTTCAAAAGTTATAATATGCTGGTATTAGTTACTCTTTACGTAACGAGCGTCAACGGCAAAACCCGCCAGTTTACCAACTATTAAACTTAGGTTGATCCCATAACTCCTTTAGTGTTATCAATTCTTCACAAATAGAATAATAAATGGTAACTAAGCAATTTTTGTGCTTAATAACTTCACTATCAAAAACTCAACAGAAAAAAAATTATAAAAATCTAACAAAAAAGTTTGCAAGTAATACATATATTTTATATTTATTTTTCATTTGTTCCTTCACTCCCACTCTAATCTATAGCCACTGAGGCATCTCCAAAGCTCTTGTTTTATTATTACTTAGTCCTCAAAATACAATGCTTAAACTTATTTGGTTTTAATTTTAAAGTTTTATTTACTGTTGAATTCTTTAATATATTCATAGAAACTATTCTCAGGATCGTCACGTAGGCGATTTGTTCGGCTCTCGGTATTATTTATTTATAACTCTGACATGCTACAGCCGGGCCCTCTTTTGATAAGGCCTTAAATACTGCTTAGTCAAATTTCTTTTGCTGTGTAACATCGGGTGATAGGGTAGTCATGTTAATTAGGTGGACACTGGAACTTAAGACGCAATCAAGTTGATGTCGAGGTTTCCTGTATCTCTTGTATAAACACTCATCGTAATTCTTGAATAAATAGTGGATTAAAGTCGCCAAAACTTTTCATAATTCTCTTTGGCTGTACGTTGACAAATTGTGGTAGAGTTTCACTATTTAAATCGCGATGGAGGATAAAAGAATAACGCTTGGAAGAAACCATGGCGCATCAAAAATAATTCTCAGTATAGAGATTTATATAACCGGGAGTGGCTGAACAATGGTAGGAGACAATATGATTACGCCCCAGATGCGTAGGTTATCTTTGGTCTAATAGTGGTGAGATAAAGTTGAAGCTAGTTGCGTTTAAAGAGGCGACTTACAGTAGATAAGGGGGAATAGTAGTTTATCTCTAGTTTAGCCTTTCTCGTGACATGTACAATATGATGACGCCCAGATAGCTTATGTATGTGCGCCAGGGGGCTGGTGTACTGTTAATGATAATTGGCTAAAAAAAATTTAGTCTTAAAAAATATTGATTATGACTGCGCTCTTTAGAGATTTTATAGTAAGAAGCCACTGGGCGAACCAGAGCTCAATCTTTTCAATATATGCTTGCACACGTTTTATTGTAAGCGAACTGACTTTGATGTAGCAAAGATTGTGGCGTCATCAGCGAATTGGGGTAAAAGTGTTGAGATATTGGTCGGTCTTGGTATGTCTGCCATGTAAATCGAAAAGGGAATGGGTGAAAGTAAGGAACCTTGTGCTTACGTCTTCCCTGAGTTCCTTGAAACTTGAGCAGGCCTTTACAATTATAGTAAAAAATTTTTTACGGTGCAGAAATGATTCAATAAGGGAGAGAAGGTGGTATGGTATTCTTAGGCTGATCATTTTAGTTATGAGATCCGCATGCCAAACTCTGTCAAAAGTCTTCTCAATATCTAAGAGAACAGCACTTGTGGACACGTTGTGGTTAAATCCCTTTGCCACAGGCTCGGAGAACCTTAAAAGTTGAATGGCCCCTTCTAAACCCAAATTGATTTCAGAAATGATATGGTTTTGTTCTACATATTTCTGTAATCGCCTGAGTGTAACTACGTATGCTACTTTGCCAGCACAGGATAGCAGATTTACTGGACAATAGTTCGCTGGGTTTAAGGAAGGGTTTTTTAATTTTGGTTCGAAAAAAAATAATTACCATTTCCGGAAATAGTGAAAAACTAAAAGTGGCGTTTATTATAAGAGTGAGAGTTTTCATGGTCGACGCAGGTAAGTTTTTAACATGAGGTTTGTAATGCCATGAGGCCCTGTTGACTTATTAGTGGAGGTGTTAATAATTGATTGTACCTCTTCGATGTTTGTGTGATCCTTTAGCGGTGCTGTGCTTACTAGAAGGGGAAAAGAGTTGTGATGAGGGTAGTTGTCCTATATGAAGTTGTTGAGCGAGGGCAATGGGAAAGGAAGCAAAGACTTTCGCTTTCTCTTTGTCGCTGTAAACAGTCCCGGTTTTCGACTTTAATGGGAAGCAGAGCTGTTTATGGCAATTCTTTACCGATTTAATGAATTGCCAGAGGTACGAGGCTATTGTTATTTCCTAGATTAGAACGCTTTTCTCCCATTCTCGGCTGTGAAGCGCGAGGTGGTATTTTTGACCTTTTTGTAAAGGTTGTTTAGTGCTCGTTTATCTTCAGGGGGCCGAGTTAACCCTAACTTCCTCTTTTGCTGTTTTATGGATAAAAGAAATACTTAAACTACTATCGACAGAGGAGATTTTAAATATGGTTGTTTCATTGTGGTAGAGGCCTTTTGGTATGATTTAACGATCTTTGCTTTCAAAGTTTGCTATCTCTATTTATATCCATGATATGCTAATTAATGGAGGCACGTGGCTAACAATTTAGGTAATCTCGCCAAGAGTTAGTCAAGGATCAAAGGGATCTCCCTTTGTTACGGATAAGAATAAATAACATCAGGAGACAATGCCAATATACAACGCGTAAGCACTGAAGCACCAAAGTTAACGAGCTAAAATACTTCGAATGCTACGAAAGTCTGTCGATAGAGCAACAGGTGTTTAGCTAACGAACATAACGGCGCCAGTCCTACGTATGTTGATAGCGATAATCTGCGCCCTAAAACACAGGACTCTAACTCTTGCCAAAGGACCTAAGCAACCCACGCTTTTTTACCATTTTTAAGGGCGTATCTTCCGGTACGAACAGTTATGATCCTGTAGCTCTCCAAAGTAATGTCTCACTCTCAACCAGAACTTGTATCAGGAAGGTATCATAGTCACGATTCTTTGGCTTTTATAGTTATTTAGCCATTCATATCAAAAGTGTGCCCAAGTATCAAATCAGATACTAGCCATAACTTTTACAAGCCATAGTTTACTGGATTAACACCGCCGAGTAGTCAAGACCAGATACAAGAGTAGTTTGCTTCAAAACATTAATCCACCTCTGGATGGCACCCGCTTGTCAACTCTAGACCAGCCATCGTGAAGCCCCACGGAATAAGGTGGTGGAAGACGCGCATTTATATATAGGCACGATCCTTTCGTGCGCTTTACGTCCTAGGCCTGTGGGCATAAAGCAATCGTTACTTTCATGAAGAATGCACCTGGCTATCGCCAGATTCTCAAGATGTGAACCAGCACCACTGAGCTACATTGTACCCGCAGCACCTGCAACGGTTGACAAAAATGTTTCTATTTAGAATCGCCGTGCTCGCAGCAGTAGCCAAGGCTTCCTACGAGTCTCCGCACAAAGGCAACATAAAAAATTGAAAAGTGAAGCATGCAGGGGCGTGAGTAAGGACGAGAAAAGGTCGAAATTCCGTTGCTCTTATAAACCATTTTTAAAGAGCTTATTATTGTTAAATTAGTATCATTATTCAGATAAAGTAGGAGGCTACCAGAATTGTTACATAAAGTTGTAAAAGGTTCCTTATCACAATGTAACTTTACAGGTTGATCATGGTACCTTACGGAATTATATGTTATCGTGCCCTTAAGAGGCACATCCACGATAAACTAGAAGATACTAGCCATGCATGAGCTAGGACAGAGATGTAAATGATACCTCAAGGTCCTTTAAATAAATCAGTTACTTAGCACTAGGTTATTACAAGATGGTAGCAGAACATAGATTAGAATTAGGATTAGAAATTTTTTCTACTTAGGAAGTATCTTTGTTTCCTTTACACAAATAAGATGCCAAGATTGCTTCCTAGTTTAAAAGGTTGACAGATAGTTAAGACACCTGTACGTGTTGTTTAACATGTTAGAGAGCTAATATGAACGGGTCGAAAGAAGCATTGTACTGCGAAGCTTGTACACTACTAAAACACCCTAATTCAATAGCTAATTTCAAATTTACCCCGTATAGCTTTTGATTTCTGGGAGTTCATTCTTTATGCTCAGTAAAATAGATTACCTTACCGTTAAGTTAAGGCGCCTTCCCTTAAAGCTTATAAAGATTATGGTACCTTCCTGAGTGAAAGCTAAAAAGTAGATCAAGATTAGGGTACCTACGAGATCAAGCCCTGTATAGTCAATATCCAACTCGATTCTTTGGATTAGATCAAGCCTAAAACCTACCGAGAAGAGCTTAGTTAACCCTTCGTGTAAATATTTTCACTTCATTTCGAATGAGAACTAGTAAAGAATACTATTTTATTAGCACTGTTGCCCAGAACTATGATGGAGTGTATCCTAATTTAGTTAATACTAATATAACATACCAGTTTACATTAATTAGTATGTAAGCACCTGGAATCAATGCAAATAGTAAATTTGGTATCCCTCATTGGCTTAGGTGTGCATGAATCATTGCGTATTAGCCTAACTTAGTCTCCGACTAAAAAAAGTCAAAAGGGGCTGCTGGGTCAAAAGTACAACACTAAGATCGATTAGCAGCAATAACACTAATACCACAGCATCAATAGCAACGATTAGTCTCACAAAAGGACATACTAGGAGCAAGGAGCACCAAGACCTAATAAGGAGAAGAATTCTTAGAATGCTCTCTCCGTAAGGTTTTACCATTATTATAAGTAGTTCTTCCGAACCGCGCTTTAACACTTATCACTTTCCGTGTTCCTCTCATCCCTTT